TTGAGCCTTTGTCTTAAGTTTCTAAAATAAAATAAGTCGGTTTTGCATGATTTATATTATATATTACTTTGTTATGCTTTTAACTGATGAAGAGTCTTGAAAGAGTATAAAATTCATACTATTTTCCATGTTTTTAGTCCTTGTTCTGTTTATAGTAAAGACTCATTTCCATCCCGAAAAGTCTTAGCACTAAATAATGCTGGAACTATGTGGTGTTTGAATGAACTAATGATTCCTTTATACTTGTTGAATGCTCCATTTCGAATTCCAAATACAGTACATTCGTTCGTGCTCATCTAATACTTCTTGATCCGATTACGTTATTTCTGGGATTCTTAGTTCATACTATAATTCAAATAGTCCTAATCATTATAAACTAATTGACATTTGAAGATGTTTGGATGATGACCATAGAGAAAATCATAGTGTTCATCTTGAATTCTAATACTAGTAATCAACAGAAAAGATCTCTCCTTAAACTTGGATCTGTATTTAGTTTTTAAGTAAAACATACCTCAAACTACATATCAGACTGTTAAGATAAAACTATTGATTGGTTTACTAAAAAACTTATTTAGTTTACTAAACCAAATTATCATTCATTTTTGTGTTGGTTTTTTGAATCATCCTATGACGGTAATGGGTTTGAGTCCCAGAGTGAACATCAATTCTGGGACCATATCTGCATCATAAAGTAACAAGAAAAAAAACAAAGCAGTTAGATGAACAAATTAACATGTAAAAGTCAAATTTTATTCAGCAGGTGATCAGCTGATTTCTGACATCAAAGGCTTTCCTTTTATATTTTACAAATTTAAACTGTGTTCAGAAAGTCATTGATTGAATAGCATTGTATTGCTCCAGGTTAAATCTCATATACATTAGTTATTTGATAAAAGTATGCGTTTGATGATAGTATTGGTCATCACGTTTCATGGATTTTGATATCAACAACAATTAATGGTAAACGGTAAGAAGAAACGTCACAATAGCTACATTTCTTAGCACTAAACGTAAATATATCTAATTGCATGAGAAAATTTGTTTGTTTATAAAGCAGTCTTATTCTAAATCAGTGTTATATCCCGACAAGAATTATGAATGGTAACTTTTGAAATTTAATTATTGACAAATACTAAACGTATATCCTTAATGTATAACTATTCAGTAACTAGATTATGTATAACTATACTCCTCTTATTATAAGCTTTATTTTGACCCATGGACTATTATTATACGATTTGCCGTTCTTGAATTATGCCCAGTCTATTAATTACAGTCTCCTACATTCACAGCCACTTTTGTTTAGATATTGTACAAATGTTATTTTCTGTTTTATGGCACGATGTGGCCTGTTTGTTTTGTATAACCCAGTATGTTTGAAATACATGATTCATATCGAGGAGGCTAAAATTGGCGTTCTGGACTCAACAGGCAGGGCTTGGCAGGAAGAAGGGCTGATAAAGAATCTAGACCGGTCGTACGGGATTTTGAGTCATTGGTCCTGTCAATAGGTTACTGTTCTCTAATTGGCAGTATCATTACGTTACATATTTGTAGGGCACAAGGCCACAAGTTATAACATTCAGCATTATAAGAAATATTACAAATTAGTGTGATCAATTTTTGGGAAATTTAAGTTCAGAATGTGTTAGAACAAATATAAATTTATAAATGACAATAAATATTAAAATACAATTCTTAATGACATAATGATACTTTATGCAACTAGTAATCCTTCAATTTTCAATTCATCTTTTAAAGGGCATATAATTTTAAATAAACAGATAAATCGTAGGTTTTTTAAGAGTGAACATCACGCTCACTTCCTCATTAAAAAATCAGACTACTAAATAGCTTAAATTGTTACGTTAAGCAGGTTGAAACAAAGGTATTTATTTAAAAACTTGTTACCGTGTTTACATCTTGTTGGTTTACGCCAAACACTTTTTCTTTTTTTATCGTTAACGTACCTAGGTTCCTGCCTGGAGTTATTCGTGATCCCGTGCTACTAGACATGGAAGCCTGTTAAGCGGAAGCTTCTTCTTTTCCGTCCACAAACATTTGAACCATTTGAACTTGTGAAAGTAAGTTTTATTCAGCAAATAGTTAGTTAATTAGCTATTTAACTACAAAATTTGGGGACAGAATGCATAACGATTAACAAATTACTTTTAGGTTGATTGTTTGATTTCTTTAAAGTATCTTGTGATAGTAAATAATACACTTCTTTTAAGGATTTGCAATTGAGAATGTACTGATTTATGATTGTTCTCAATGAAATGGAAAGCAAAAAGTAATAATATTGTAAAATGAATACGATGTTTTGTAGCTGAAATCGCAAAAGAAAAAGCTTTAGAAATATGTGTTGACATGACAAATGTTGCTAATACAATCTGTGTTGAAAAAAACCAAAAGCAACTAAAGATTGCATTACATTCGAATTCAGGACCATTATAATGCAAGAGGTAGTGATGATTAGTATTATTCATGACATAGGATATATATTCCAAAAATCAGATATTTTATTCATGAATAAAGATCTGTCTTCATTTTGCATGGAAGAAACGGCAAATATTGTGTCGAAGAGTAGTGCTAAAATCCAGTCAGAAGTATAGAGTAGTTAGAGGATACTTATGACTTACTTTGGTCTGATACATGACTTGAGAGATCCGGATTACTCAGTATGGATCAGGTCACAACATAGTCATTCATAACTTACCACTTTTCGCCTGACATATCTGTATCTGATGAATGTCTCGTATCTCATCATTTTTTATAAATATCGTACTAATCATGATTGCTACTAATGTTATTAACCTGTCTCGGATCTCTTCGGTAGTCATAGCCTTTGTCAATCTGTACTTCTTAGATTTCTGTCCATCTAATTTTCTTCCGTACGCTATTCATTTTTATACTACAAAAGTTTCTTCTAGTCGATCATCTACATTCTTGTCTGATAATTTTTTATATTGCAAAAACCCAATCTCTTTTTCGATATTAAGGTTTGTTCTGTTTCAATAATCTCCACAGCCCTAGAACGAACACACATGTTGACACCGAAGAAAAATATTCCTCAATTTGCTATCAAATTTATTGGCATTGTTACATCCGAGTGGCTAGACTACTCATATTAGGTGATGACATAGAGCTGGAACGGCACAATGAAATCAAGAAGCGAGCACAAACGAATCAGTCGAACAAAGCTATCTTGCTATAAATATATTGGATGATGTCACTTGTTTGAAAGAATGTAAATCTAACCTTTGGATATTATCTAGAAAATCGAATATACAAACGGAAAAAGATGATATCATGTAACGGTGAATAAATCCACGAAGTAAATAGTTCTGTAAGTCGTCGACATTGATATTGACCTCAATAGTTTTGCTGAACACTCCTAGATGATGGCCCTTGTTCACGCATTCGTAACACATAACGAGAGGGTATGCGGTGCTACGCATTCTCTGCAACTGCTGACCAGCCCAAACTAAATGTATCGTGACATATTGATAGTCTTGAATATTTATCGTTAAATCTCATTATTTCTGACCTCTAATTTGACTGAGTTGACATACTTCGACTGTAAAGATGTTACGTGTAATGATGTCGTCGAACTTCGAATACCTGTGGCATCTTCAGTCATAGTGATCTCTTTATCAACGTAAATAAAACATTATTCCCATATGTCCAACTTGAAGGTTAAGAATCTCAAGGTCTGAATGATTAGGTTGCTCTATTTAGGAGTTTTGTTTACATATGCATGTAGCCTAGGAAATACCTTCCTTGGATTTGATGTATTAATGGACGAACTAACGTCACTTATCTTAGCTGTGATCGAGACTCGGTCATTCCATGATTTTGGCGTTACTTCAGAATTATCGCGATACAACTCACGAAAAGTGATCGGAACTGATGCAATTAAGAGAGTGAAGTCGTTGTATACACAACTAATGATGTGAACATCAGTCCCTTTGTTTGTGAATCTCATGATAGAGTAACTGGTGAAGTAACTAGCAGCAAACCCATATTTGAAGGTTTAACATTTTTATTCGGTGTCATCTATCCCACTCCGATCGTCTTAGCTGACGACTTTATTTTAGAACATATTCAACTATGGAGTAAAAGCTACAGATACCTAATATTAGGATGTTGTAATGCGCCTAATATTAACTGGACAGAGATGGCCAATTCATAATCTGAAATCTTAATTGATAGTGGGGTTCTGAAGAACTTAGGGTATCATACTCGATTTTTATGAGGCCGCATTTGTTTCAGATATGAGGTGGATATGATAAAACGAGCTCGATGTCGGGTGACCAAAATAGTAAAAGGTCGGTTAAGCCGTTTTTATGAAGACAGACATAAACACCTCAACTTAATTTAAATTGTCTAACACGTTAAATCAACACTGTCTGCTGATACATTCAAAAGCGAGAACGAATCTTCAAATAAATATAAGTTGTAAGGATTAATGTAAGTCGATTGGCCTCCTAACTTCACTACGGAAGGCTGATGATTGAGGCTGCTGGTACATAAAATCTATGTTGCACTGCGGAAAACACAATCACTCAAATACCTCGATATAAGAACCCTTAGATGTTGACCATTCTGATTAGAATTAGTGCAGTCGAGTTACAGACAACAATCCAGTTTGACATTACTAAAGACAAGAAACTGTAAATCGAAAGAAAGGAAGGAGCGCTGAGAAATCTCTCAGTTAGAAAAAACTTATCACCAAGTCATTGGATATACTGATTATTGATTTGTTTAAGATATTTTTTAAGCAACCAATTCTACCCTTTTATTTATTGTAATTAGAACTTTAGGCAAACTAAATTTGAAATTCTCCTAACGAATATATTTCTGAAAATTACACTTCAAACTGTGATGTCAAATGTGTTTTAATTGCTCAATTAGTTGTAACCTTGTGTCATAGCAACCAAAAACGTTACACTTTTAAATATCTCATTTAGAATACTTGTTTTTTACAAATAATCATGACAAGCGTCCTTCCTTCAAGGAATCTAGAGGGAACATACAGTTTTGCTAGTCAGCCTAAAGTGGTAGCAAGGAGAAAAATTTATCGGGAGAATATGTAATTTTTTTATTTATAAATTTTTACACAAAAACAGAGAAGAAGATATAAACAGTAACTACGGAAATATCATGTACGATAGGAGAGTAATCAGGGGAAACACATACGCTTTGCATGTATTGCCTGCCCATGCTCAGGCCGATCCTATTGAAATTCAGAAACAAATAGAAAGGAAACGTAACGCTATTGCTCGTCGTAGAATGCGTGAAGAAGTATGTTTTCATCACAAACTGTGATAATAAATTTATTTTGCTTTTTTTGTATTATATGAACAAACAAATCAGAACTACACTTCGACGATAAGATACAGACATTACAAATAGATTTTCTGCTATGAATTGGTCTGTTAATTATTGAATCTCTTGTTGTCTTAGTTACATTTGACTTGACTTTTGTACATTTGCCTAAGTCGTAGCATGTACTTACATCCGTAAGTCTTGTTTAGTTTCAAAACTATGTTAATCGGGTGTTAGTGTTGATAGTTGCATGCTTACATATATTAACCATAGATTCAGACAATTCTAAGACCTATGGAAAGGAAACACTAAAATTTACATTATTTGAGTTACGCACTGCAGACTAGTACGCTGCGTGAAGACCTTGGAGTTTTAACACGACATTTATTTAGCCGCCTTATGTTATCAAATCTTGTTATCAACAAACCTGTTTGGTTAATTCAAACGATGTAATAAAGATATGTGGATTTTGAGAACCATGTGTTATATTAGCACAATACGTTTAGAACAATCTGAACATATACTTCGTAAGAACATTTGGGTATGAGAAAGTTAAAGGTTGACAAGATAAATGGTGGGTTTTACGAAACAGAGACACTAGAGAAAACTTTATGAATAACAATGTGAAACTCAACACGCTGTGTAATATTTCTATATATCCACGGTATAGTTAATATGCGATCGAATTGTTTTTGAGTGACTGAGTAAAGTTTAAATCTTTGTATAGCCAACAATAAATCCCAGCGCATGTCTGAGATAAATTTTGTACAAAGCTGCAGAGGCTGAGTTAAACATCAGTCTTATAATCTGTTTCAAATAGATTGTTTGAAATATATTGGGCTAAGATATCACATAGCTCTGACGAAGTTCGTATTCTTATTACACTATTATACAATATCTTTTCTGTCTAGGAAGTGTTGAGTTAGTTTGCATACAGAGCCAATAAAAAACCCTCATTCAAAAATGTAATGCAATAAAAGTAACGTTTAAACGCAGTTTCATCATTTGGCAGGCCAAGATAACCTCTCTCCTGGCTAAACAGGATACGTTTTCAGTCATTATGTCGTATAGTTCAACTTGAAACTGAGAACGCGGTATATATCTGTCTAGCATTAAGAACGCTAAAACTCAACCAAATTGAGTTCAGAATTATTTCAGTCGCTTGAATTCCCTCTAGTTCAAAAAATACGCAATGATTGCTCGTGAAAGAGATTTATTCATTGAAAAACGATGTCGCATATCATATAGCCAGATGAGATAAACTGTAAAATTGCTTTTTAAACAAAGCGTTATGGATTAACAGCAGTACATTACTTAGGACATGAATACTTTCATCTCTTATCAATCTGAGTGGTAACAAGTTTAATGTTATCTGATTCAATTTTTTAGTTATATTATAAATTGCCCATCAGCCTGACTAATGTGGAGGTTCTGTGCAATTTTTTTCATACTTTCTGGCCAGAAAAGCTTACAAGGATGTTCTGAAAGCAGGTTTCGCTAGCAAGACGTGTCTATATTCTCGTAGGAACCAGATGTCCCAGCATAAACATTTTCGTGTATGGAATGCAGTTAACTTCATACTTGACTTTTATTACAGCATATTTACAATTAAATACATAAGGTTTATTTTTTTTCATAGTTCAACTAAAATCTTCAGTGCAAATCAGGAGCTAAAGGACCAGAACCTTATGATAATACCAGTAAAAACAGTTTATAGATCTGCTGAACACATTTTGTCAGATAGATAAGTACACAGAACATAGTTCATCCCACTAAGAATTGTTTTGTTAAACTGTTGATTAACATTCATCCACTACTGAATTCCAAACAGAATAATAAAATTCCAAGCATTTTGTATTTCCTAATAATGCCTCTCAATATTCTAAAATATGCCTGATCTAATGTAAAATCAGTAAAAGCATCGATCACTTTCAGAGTAAAATCAAATGAATTCTTAAGTTATGTACGGCGAAGCAACAGTTGGCGAATTTCATGAATGCTATTATTTTTCAAATTATATACCATTAACTTTGGCCCAATTGGGTATTTCTCTAAGCTGTCATAGGTTAAATGACCATAAGTACTATATAACTCAGTTACTTCAGTTTACATGGTTAGCATTATTTTAACTATTAAATTCAAAACCTTTTTTAATTTATATGTATTTACGAATCATTTAATGATTGATAATTTTGTTGCTGTCGGAAAACTTAGCTCAGACCGAAATCCCCATTACCTCTAGATGGTAGACTTCATCAACCAGTTCAGACCGAACTTTATTTGGAAGCTCTTACGGAACAAATCGAAGAAGCAGATGAAACTTGTCAGACCGATGACTTTCTGGACAGACCACCTACTCCACTTTACGTACCAGCCAAAGTTGGTGTGGATGTAATGACTCAAATATATGAAGGAGATGTGAGTCGAAGATCCTTATTTATTAGTTTTACCCTTATTTTTTATTAGGGAGTGAATATAATTTGACAGATAAAGTATAATCAGTCAGTCATCCGTCACAAACAACGTTGAACCTGTCATATGTATGGATCAGTTTACTTTATACCGACAAATCAGCATATGGAAATGAAATTACGGCGGCAAATGTTAGAATATTCAAAGAAATAACAGTGTCTGTGGCAGAAAAGGATTTTACACATAAATAACTTTACTCAAAAAGCAACAAATAATTCCATAGACAAAAAGCATAGAATGGCTGTAAAACTACAGAGTTTTACTTGAAAATAGATTTCATTAGTTTTGGAAGGAAGCAGTCATAATAGAAACATGAAATTTCTGAAGTTATTCTTTGGTGAATTAGTGTGTTGGTTTTTAAATACCTATACTGCAGTACGTTTTATGTAATCAGTATTGCATGGTTTCTTTTGAGTCATTAATCATTTTAAAGATCGTTTTCTTCATTGACTAACATCAGTTTAGCCCTTGGATTACTAAATAATTATCTAAAATTATCTTGTTCACAGATACTGACGGTTCATTTGATAATTGTTTTTAATAGGTCAATGAAATTAAAATATGACCAGCCAGTGAGAGAAGACAGATAGACAGCTAGCCTGCTAAATGTTGTTACACTGGTAATCTTGTAACTTCTTTCCTTGCATCGATTTTATTCCGGGCTCCACTGAGCGTAAAAGAACCTTACTGCATTATAAAACTATTTTATTGTTCTCGGTCTTCTAATTAAATCTCTTGTATCGGCATATGGCATGACCTGGTCTATATTCGGTGTACCCATTCTAGTGATCGTATAATCTCGTGCCCAAGTCGTAATAAAGTATCATATAGGGTGAAACACAGAAATTTTAACACTATGCCGTCAGAAAAGTTCATGGATTGAGGAATTGATGATACATAAAGTCGTACGTACGAAATTCTACGCTTTTACTGACTGACTGAATGTCGTAACCATGGATTGCTAATAAATCTCCTAGTAGGTTTCCGATTCCCCTCCGTTGTTATTGTTTCACCAAATGATAACTAGACAAATTACTTTGTAAATGACCTTCCTAAACCATAAGTTTTTACATAAAAAGCCTATTATTTAAAATTAAAGGATAACTGACCACACACTGTGCACTTCACATTAGGAAATTGTTTGTTGTGACACATGAATTAATATCATTCAGAAATATTCATCTCTTGTATTTTAAATGTTTTACTGAGGAATTAAAAGAGGATAAATCTATCTTAATACCAAAAGAATAACAATTCAGTAATGAAAATGACAGTGGCGTAGTAAACATAACTATTTATTTCATATTCATTCTAGTTATATTTGTAATTTAAAACAAGAATTCCAATAAATATTTCAGTATAATTTAATAGTCATTTAATTTATTTTTCAGCTTTTTGACTTTGATTTAGAAGTTACACCAATATTAGAAGTTTTGATTGGTAAAACAATTGAACAATCTTTACTCGAAATTGCGGAAGAAGAAGAATTAGCTAGTATACGTGCTCAACAGAATGCTTTTGAAGAAATACGTCAAGCTGATCTTTTAGAAGTTGCTAGACTTACAGAGCGTGAAAGACGTATACAGTAAGTTATAAAATATGAACAGATTTGTACAATGAATAGATAATAATATAATAATACCACTAACACTGTTGTATGCCGACTCAGTAGTCTAGGTATTAAGTGTTTGCGTGCGAGGCCGAGGGTCCTGGGTTCAAATTCCGTGGGTGTAATCTTGGATGCACAGTTCTGAGGAGTCCCATAATAGGATTAAATAACCATCCAGTACTTTCAAGTTTCTAATGGTAGTCTAACATCAGTCAATTCACAATATCAATCAACAACATAGTTATTAATATTGGAGTTAATTAACATTTTAGACTAATAATATTATATTTTCCATTAGCAAAATTAATCATTTATTATAAAAACTGTATAGAATAGTTTAAAATTTTTGTTTAAATACATCTTAAAATATTTAAAATTTTGCGACAAACTTTAAAATGGTTAACTTGTTCACTTCATTCTACTAAACATTCTGTAACTGCACGTTAACAACATCCATACTATCTCAAATAGTGTGTAACTATTCAGTTTGACTGATCATTTACATTCAAGGAAATATTACTTCGAGGTTGCAAACAACATATGCAAGTTGAAGGACTAAACGTTTTGTTAAGCTTTGTCTCCCATTCAACTACTTTCTTTGAACTGTTATCTATGAATATGGCTGAAGAAAATTTATACAAGTCGGCTGTTTTGTTGAAACATAAAATTTTTTCTCGCTTTTGCAAAAGATAACACTGATTATAGGGCAGATGTTATTATTGCATTCGCTGATAGATTACGTAACAGATACTTGTCAAACCATTAAATATTTCATACTGTTTGAATCTTAAGTTACCACACCAGAAAAGAATTCTAAACACAACAAACATGGGTGATTATTAATGCATAAATAACTTCGTAGAAAAAACTCAACAGTAAAATAACTGAACACCGATTACCACGACATGCAATGCTAACCGGTGTTGGAGATGGTTGGAAGAAAGTTAGGGGCGGCTAAACCAAAACGTGTCATCAGTGCTTGAAGTCACTAACTTCTGGTCTGAGCCATGTTGGTAGATGCCGACTACATGGTTGGAGACTCTTGGTGACATGACTCAGAATCGATCACAATGGCATCGGTGTATACACTTTGTCTTCCCTTAAACCATGAGATAAAAATTGCTTTATATTTTTCTTTCTACGAACTAATTCTTTCTTCCTGTACTATCTTACTCCTGAGAATCCGGTGTTCATCCTTCTGTGCTAATGCGGTATGGCAACTTGGACTGATGCATATATATGCCTGGTCCTACGTTGTAGCTGACTGACTTAATAAACGCTGGTCTATCGGTATTGATATCTGCTATGGCACAGATTCAAACCAAGAAGTCCATATTTCTCACTATCGGTTAAATCAATTGTCAGAGTAAATTTATGACAAAAGAAGACTTGACTATGATAATTCAACACTGGATGATAATAAATTAATGTAGAATATTTAACAACTCTTTTAAAATCTTCTAAGAAATAATGACAAAACACACTCACATGGGTTGAAGGACAAATACTTGAAAGCCTAGTTTAGTATAACTAAGTTAACTGTTCATGCTTACATTGAGACTCAAACCCATATTGATCTATTTAAACCTTTACAAATAGCCACATATCCATTGAAAAAGTTAGTGGCTAAGTAAACTGTGTAGCTTAGGATTACTTGAAGAAATAGTTAGTAGCTTCAGGTCTCAAATATGAATATCAATACTTTGATGCAGGTAAAAAAAGTTGATGATTCTCTAATGGAACGAAATGCTCTGTTTAAATTTAAATTTTTGGCCTAAATCCAAATATATTAAAACCTTGTAACTAAAAAGTAATATCGAGTAATTCACTCAAATCAAATCCAATACGCTCAACTACAGTTTTGAATACCAGAAATATGAAATGCAAACCCTTACAAATAACTTAATCTAACTAACTTGACAGATTTCAAAAGAATAAATAAAGGACAAGTGCATTCAGAATATTAAGTCTTTATTCCACGTTGATGGATTTCTGATCAAACGAATTCATGTTACATCATGTTGGAAACAATTATGGTTTATTATTTCCTAAAGATCATTAAATTTTATGTACAGCGTAAACTATTTTGTTAAATTTAAGTTTATTAATAAAACACGACCCTTCAGTAATCTGATTGACATTAATGGTCAGTGACTTATTTTAAAGAGATTAAATGTTCATGTTGTCATATTATTTTAGAATAAAGAGATTTTGGATAAGATACTTGGTCAGTCATAAAAAAACATAAAACTTGAGATTGCTGTATATCAGTTTCAGTTGCACACATTGTCTCAACATAGATAGAGGATGTTAACCGAATGAAAATATAAGGCATTAAAACAATAGAATGATCAAATCTAATGTTAAATAAAAAAAAGTATAAAATCAAATAATAAAATGTATTAGAGAACACTGTGGTTGTATGCTGCTTATCATGGTCGATATAAGTAGTATGTAACACCAATCAGAAATGGGATACCTGTTAGCAGAAGAATGAAAAGATCAAATTGAAGAGAACATGAATGTAAACAAGGAGTAATTTTAAAAACAAGAGGAATGAATGAATGATAAAGTTTGAAAGAGATAACTGATGGAAAATGTGCAAAGAATGTATTTAATGTGCAGTTTTCATATTTTATGAACATACTCTGTAATTTCACATTAATCTTCTCCATCTGACTTATCGTTCACTGTAACACTAGAATTCAGGATTTACTTAAAAAAGAACGAAAACATGTATTTTATAGTGACTAATATTGGTTTGTTATTCTTGTAGTAACTTACTATACATTACAATAATCTCGTATATAACAGACGTGTGTGTATACAAATATGTCTCAATCATTATATTACTAACACTAATAAGTTCAATACACATTGACTAGAACACTTCAATTTAATTCATTGGAAAATAGTTTCATTTTTATAAAACTCAATTTGTATTGATCGATTATTTTAGAGAAGAAAAAGAACGACGTAAAGCTCAATATCTAGCTGTAATTGAACAAGAAAAAGAATTGACTACAAAAGTTGCTGCACAAGCATTTGCTAAAGCCTATTTAGCTGACTTACAAACACATGTATTTAATAATTTAACCGAAACTGGTTACTTTTATGATCCAGTTGAAAGAGGTAAATATATAAATATTAATATCAGATGGGTTTTGTGAATATTATGGTAATTTCAGTGATTAAGATCATGAGTCAGCTGAAGCTAGACCGGCATGGAAAACCTGGATGGCCGTTTCGTCCTATCGTGGGACTCCTCAACAGTGCGCATCCACGACCTCGCCCCCCCAGGACCTACCTTCAAGAGGTATATCCTGGAGTTCTAGTGGAGTTCAACCAGGTCTGTTGTGAGATAGTAACCCACTGAAGACAATGGTGGATGTATCGCTCGATTTCGTGGATTAGTTGAAGTTAGACATTAGCAGCGTTGGATGCCGGCTCTGTGGTCTAGTGGTTAAGTGCTCGCGCACGAGAACAGCAGGTCCTGGGTTCGAGTCTCGCAGGAGGTGAGGTCGTGGATGAGCAATACTGAGGAGTCCTGCAATAAGACGAAACGACCGTCCAGTGCTTCCAGGTTTCCCATGGTAGTCTAGCTTCAACTGACTCATGATCTTAACCATATAAATATTAACTTAAATTAATTGAATTCAATATAATGTATATTTTTTGTTTATCTAGAAAGTGTATAATATTAGTGAATTAGTTAATCACAAGGTATTAGTTTCAAATGTTTTCATTTATAAAATTTCAAAGAGAGATAATCATGTATCAATGATAGTATTGATAAGCCTTGCTAATTGAACTCTATATTCGGTTCCTAAGCTATTCTCGTAACCCACAAGCTAGAAATACACAGCGACCTGAATACGAGAGAAAAGGCATAAAATATGCCAGAAGCACTTTACTCCAAAGGTTCGTTTTTGTACAGTTTCCCGAAAATTCTGGATCGCTACTAAACATAGTAGCAGTATGGTAATCAGCCAATCAGAAACTCTACATGTGAATTTTCATTTTGTTGATGTTTCTGGCTAAACTTTAAGTGAACGCTGATTGGATAAAATGCTTCTTAGTGTTTCCTGAGCTTTTCTTGTCTTTTGCGAAAAGTTTTCTGGATCACCCCTACAAATATTCAATCTGAACATAGATACATTCTTTTGTATCTATTTAAGTGTTAACTTTAATATAAATTGATTTGATTGATTCATTTACTGTTAGTCATTATAGTCATTCAATATGAGTCGGAAAACTAACTTCAAACTCATCTTTGAAAAGATTACATCTTAAAGATAAATTTAGCTAGAGAAGTTCCATAATTTAAATGAATTATATCAAGATTACTAAAGTAGTTATGGTAACCATCAAAGTTACATACTGTTTAAAATTTAAGAATGAGCGCTACTTTTCAAGGTTCCCATTTCATAACTTATTGTATTAAAACGAGTTGTTTACATAGTTTGAAAATTACATTTTGATGAATAATATTCTCACTATGGTGGATTTTTAAAGTGAGAATCATTTAAAACCAGTATCATTCATTGGTATCACAAATAATCAAGTACAGAAGAAGCGCTGAATCATAGACTCAGGCTACTTGGGAATAACTAAAATATTTGATTTATAGAATCTTATCAGTATTGGAGATTAAACAACATAGAATAGATTACTGCAAAGAAAGATTTCAGTTCACTCAAAGATTGTTCACAGATCGAGCACATATGAAAATCGGAAACAAGTGTTACAAATGTTAATACGTTAAGATTATGATGATAAATAACCTGAATATTGAGATGGTGGAGAAGATTTGTAGCTCAGATGGATGATTTTGGTGGAGTTTTGTTCTCTGAGATGGATGGTTTGGTCGTGGAGCTTTCATCGTTCTTCTGAACGACATCATCAGCACAAACTTCAGATAGAATATTACAAGTTTATGAAAATGACTAGGAGTATTACACAGCAACAGGTATGATGGATGGAAATTGATAGAAAATAAGAGTGATTACTGGATAATATTAAGTAGAACAACATAACACACAAAAATTATCGGATAGGAAAAAACGAAGGTAAGATGAGTAAAAAAGGTTAAAAATAATAATTGCCGAGTTGAAGTCACTAACATTCATCATTTTTAGCAATGAATCAAACTGTTTAAAAATGTCGAATTACTTCTCAGTTAACAAATAGGATTGGGAGATAATTATTTTAATCTCTGAATTGTAAGTTTACTTCAAATTTCATTACTAGTGTTTATGTGAAAAATTCATTTCATAAACGAGTATTTTAAGGGAACCACAAACAGGGTAAACAAATTTAATCGAATATGAGATCGCCGTTTTACACGTTGATCTCTTCAATCGTTTGAGATGCTTAGTTATTTTTTTTTCAAAACTTCGAGCTTATTTTAGTTCGATATACTAATTAAAACAAAGTGGACTGGAAATAACTTAGACGGTTTCAAGAGATGAGGATTGGCTTTTGAAACTGTAACGCAATGGCTACTGAGTTTTCCTTGGTTTTTGATATCTCACCAAATAATTCTAAAAATATAAATGATACTAATTATACACTATACTGTGTCCAGTAATACATATGGCATGGAACCATTTTCTTCCAACTTGTCTCCAGGATTAAAAACTAAGAGTTGGATGTCTAGAAAATTAGTGAGTGTAGCCTAAATAGTGAATGTAATCATTTCAGACATAATAAATGACAACTGGATAAAATATTTATAAATCCTTTACCCGTTACAATTATTTTGCCTATCAATCTGTTTCGTTTTTGTAGATATTGAAGAAGGATTTTTACCTTGGCTCATGGAACAAATCGATGAAGAACTTGAATTATGGAATGATGCTTGTCTATTATTAGATGGAATGATTAGAGAAGTAAGTTTTATGATCTTAAGCTCTTCCTTATAAATTGATTTTCTCAAATGTTTCCATTTGGTTTATAGTAGAAATTTATCCTCCTCATTGGAAAATGAGTCTGTGCTAGAAGGCCCCCTTGATAAAAATATACACAAATAGAATTACTAAACGTTTTTTTGAACTGATACTGATTTAGAAAACATGAAGCACTGGATCTCTTCTTTACTCTAATTCATTAACTCCCTGGAAGTGCCCACCAACCAAATTCAGGCTATCTGGTAATAATGTACTATAGAGTTACTAATTAGGAATATAACAACCCACACTATTTCAGAAAGTCTACAGTAAATTTTCATATAATTTACACTATCATATCGATTAATTATTACTTAGGTTGTTCAGGAAAGACACCATGAATATCGGCAATTAGAACTAATGGCCGCTGAAATGGCGTTGATGCAAGAAGCAGGTGCTGCTTTAACAGGTCAATCAGACCAACCAGAACGAAGTGATGAGCTTACCGAAAATAGCAAAATTGAAAATATTATTGAATCTTCTTTTGATAAAGAACCAGGAGAAGAAGACGACGAAGAAGAACAAACTGAAAAGGATGACCGAAATGATGAAGGTGAAATACAGGCGGAAGGGGAGAAAGATGAACCGAATAGCGAAGTGAGAGTTTGTTGAATTAGTCTAATCTAATGTTTATGCATGCTTTATAGTGAAAGTTTTGTAACCAAATTAGTCGCAACGCTTAAAGGCATAAATTTTGATACTACTACTACTTACTACATTATTTGATATGACTGATTCACGTAACGTGTTGTAATTTATGAAGTAAATTATACTAAGAGTGACAGCTAATCTTTAAGCAATTATTCATTATTATATATAATTTAGGCTATCAAATATGTTTTACAGAATATAAGGTAACAATAAGTGATAATCTCGTACTTTGCAAATTCAAAGTCATAAATTACTCGACATCCATCAATAAATGGTATGACAGACAACCTGGGGCAATTTATAACATTGGATAAAAAAGTGACGAGTAAAACAAACATAATGCTTGCCACTACTCTGATGCTTATTTATGTTGAAATCGTGGCTATGTAATATCAACAAGAATCATTATACTGGAAGGTATAGTAACACGAACCAATAAGGCTTTAACAGACCGAGCAAACCAAAATTTTACATTACGTATCATGGGCGTACCTTAGTAAGTAAGATTACTCCCCTCGCCAGGTTAATCCCAAATATGTCTCTGTATAAGTCAGTTCATTTACCTATAAATATTCGTATTATCAATACTTTCACAAGTCCTCTAGGGACACAATCTTCAATGTATTCTTGTCTTTTCAATCTGTATAGCTGGGCTAACCAAGCAATAGGAGTATGTTTGGTGGTTGAACCGAATTGCAGGTGCGGACTCTTATGTTTTCAGTGAATTCTAGCTTATTTTAATTACAAAGCCCTCAAACAATTATTATTTGACTGTTTAGTTACATACATCTAACTCTTCCTTTACAACCTACTGAAACTTGTAATGAAGATGAAGTAAATTTGTCATTTCGACTTCGAATTTTTCACCAGTTTACACTACGAACCCTATTTTAGGAGTTAATTGGGTAAATGTTGTTAGCTCTAATATTAATATACTATGGTTAAGTATTCAGTGCTAGTAAATGACGAAAACTATTAGTTAGGTTCATTGCATTATCAGTTTGGGTTAGAACTATCCTACTGTTAGTACTTTGATTGAATTTCGATTAGTCATAGTCAGCATATCGCGTACACTACCCCAGTATAATTCTTTTGTGGCAACTTTTATAAACTAGATGGCTTGTGGCCGGCAGCGGAATTTTCGAAGCCATATAGCACTAGTTGGGACTCTTCAACTGTATCCCATTGTTAGTGACTATTTTGACGGAGGAAATCAGTGAATAAGACACTGGGTACACATCAAGAGTGGAATACACACACATCCAACCGATGAGTTGCAATTAGGACGAAAAATGTGAATTGAATCCCACAATTATCTACAATTTGTCTGGCCTATATTAGTTAAGCTACTGAGAAACAATAAGGATCTATATAATACTCATCCCATTGCAAAACTAATTGACATAGAAACAACAATTACAGTAGAATAATAAAAGATTGACGGATTTCATGGGTTATTGTCAACTACTTACAAGCCAATATAATTCTAGCAAAACAAGAGATCTATTATTTGGTTTCCCATGAGATAAAACAAATGTGATAGTTTTTAGTAACTATGCATACCAAGAGCTGAATATTCCAGAAGTCTGAAAAAGTATACGTGATACTACTAATTTACAAAGTACAGGCTCATTTACTTGGCTTTGAGTCATACTGTTTGTATGAGGGTTACTAATAACAACTTGTTCACTCCAAATTGAAGCACGTGGAACACTGTTTGAATCTACAATCGAGAAACCACTACTCCACCAGAAGCACATGAGAACGTAGTGACTCACATAATTAAAAATGGGAAGCACTATGGTAAGAAGAATATATTTCAACATATACCTCAAAGGAAGGGGTATTAAATAAAGCACAACCATGGTAATTTAAGGTTGATGATACTGTACTATTGTATACACATTAAGATTTTCCACATTTATACTAAATTTTCCATTTAGATGAACGATCAGAATGGTGATGAAATAGATGAAGAATAATGTCACGTTAACAATTGGAATATTTGGTTATACTGAATAACTGGAATCTACGGAATGTGATTGCTTATTTTATCTTACAGAAACTATATGTACAAATATCAAATATTTATTTACTTAATGAAATACAATAGAATGAGCGAAAATAATTAGTCTTTCTGTTTAGTTTTATTATTCCAGTCCATAAATTTTACTTTTATGAATAATTGCTGAATGAATATCAAGATAAATGCAAAAGTAGTGCGAAAACCAAAAATAAAACTGATTGTTTAATTCCCTGGTACGGCCGAGAGTGGGGAGAGTCCGCTCTCCCTCTCGAAATACTCTCACACGGCCACGCGTATATAGCCTCTGCCAGGGAAGTCCTACTCATTGCCTTCTCGTGGCGGGGGTGTTGTTTACGAAAATGAGAGGACGAAAAGTGAATGTCCGGCGCTTTAACCGGATCCCAAACCGATGGTGCATATGGGCTATTATTATTATTATTATTATTATTATTATTATTATTATTATTATTATTATTATTTACCACATTATTCACCCTCGTCTTTGGTGGAAATTCGACTGTATCTAAACGTTGTCGAGTCACTGTCCGGTTGAAAATTCTATGTTACCACTGAATATGAGTACTGAAGCAGTTTTTCTGAAACCACGTGCACCCTCCAAACTGGCTGCCTTCAACGTTCGCACACTTATGCAGGTTGGACAACAGATAGGGCTGGCTATGTCTTTGGAAAGTCGTAATATCGATGTCTGCTATCTATCCGAGACCCGTATTCAAGACTCTGGTGAAGTACTACAAATTCGATCTCCATCTGTTGCTTCGAAAAGCTTGTTTTACGTGCGCTTATCCAGGGACCCTGTGGCATCTTCGTTTGGTCTTGCTAGCGTTGGTGTCGCACTAAGCGCTAGAGCTGAGGCAGCACTAGTCGATTGGATCCCCATTAACAGTCGGTTATGTGCTGTTAGATTAGAAAGTTCCATCAAAATGAGAAGAAATCGGCGTGAGAAACGATGTCTTTTCGTCATCTCCGCCTATGCCCCGACAGATTGCAGCCCGGATGCAATCAAGGATGAGTTTTACCACCAGTTATCTGTTCTCCTCCAGAAAGTGCGTTCGACAGATATTGTAGTACTAGCCGGAGACTTGAATGCTCAGGTCAGGCGTCTAGGTACTGAAGAGAGTCGTCTAGGTGGCCGATGGGGACTTGTTGGTCGCAGGACAGATAACGGGGGCCGTCTATTGCAACTGTGCACAGACCACAACCTGTTTCTGGCTAGCACTAACTTTCGGCACAGTCATCGCCGATGGGCCACCTGGCGTCCTCCCTCTGCATCCCAAGCCTGGACTCAGACTGATCACATCTCGATCAGTTACCGCTGGCGTGGTTGTGTACAAGACTGCCGCTCCTTTTGGAGTACCTATCTGGACTCTGACCATGCTTTGGTCTGCGCCAATCTTACCTCACTTTTCGTGACCAACGAAGTGACCGCCACCAACGGATTGATGTTAGCAAGCTGGTTGCAACTTCTGTTGCTAGTAAGTATCGAACCGAGCTAGTTTTTAGGCTAGCTACTATTCCACCGAAAAGTATAGATGAGCATTGGTTGCAATTGCATGACGCCATGAAAATGGCGGGAACAGTCAGTTGTGGGTTTGCGAAACGTCCCGCTTATAAGCATCGGGTTTCTGCAGGTTCCTTACAACTCATTGAAGCCCGTCGGTCTACTCTGAGTGACCGTGAGTTTGACCGCAAACAAAGGGTGCAACGTAAGAAAATTGGACAAAGCTTGCTTAAGGACCGAGAAGCCTGGTGGTCGGAGCGTGCTAATGAGCTGGAAGCAGCAGCTGAATCTGGTAACTACCGGAAGCTCTTCCAACTCATCCGAGCCACTGGCAGCAGGCAGTACGGTGTGAGCGAAACAATCTGCGAGGATGATGGGATGCCAATCACTAACATCCATCGACATCTTGGACGATGGGCAAAGTTTTTCGAAGGGCAGTTCAACTGGCCTGCTGCTCCAGCAACATCGGTCAGACTGTCCTGCCCTCCATGGCCGGTGACGACTGATCCACCAAACGAGGCAGAAGTCCGCAAGGAACTCCAACTCTTGAAGCGTTACAAATCACTTGGCCTAGATGACTTACCTCCGGCTCTTTTTAAAGATGGTGGTGACTTACTGACTAAGGAATTGACGACGTTGTTTACAAAGGTTTGGGAGCTAGAGAGTGTACCAATGTCATGGAATGAGTCGATAGTTGTCCCTATATTTAAAAAGGGTTCACGTCGTTCCTGTAACAACTATCGGGGGATAAGTCTATTTCCGATTGCATCCAAGCTATTGGCTTCCGTCATACTTCGTAGGTTGTTCAAAACCCGAGAAAGATTGACCCGCGAGGAGCAGGCTAGATTTCGTCCTGGACGAGGATGTATTGCTCATATCTTCACTCTCCGCCAACTGTTAGAACACCGCCATAATTTTCAAAGGCCAACAATCGTAGTGTTTCTTGACATCAGGGCTGCCTTCGATTCGTTGGACAGGACTGTTCTCTGGGATTGTCTACTGAAGAAGGGTGTGCCTGAGTGTATTAACATCCTAAAAGCCCTATATACAAACACCTCAGGCAGAGTGGGGGCATACAACCACCTTTCTCCACTGCTCCATTCAAACAGTCAGGTCAGACAGGGTTGCCCAATCTCACCATTCCTCTTCAACTTTGCCATCGATGACATTCTGGAAACAGTTCTGATGGATGTAAGTAATGGCGGTGTGGATCTGTTGCTTGGAGAAAGACTTCTCGACCTTTAGTGTGCGGATGATATTGTCTTACTGTGCGATAATGCCCAAGCCATGCAATCCGCACTTAATCAGTTGGCAATCAGTGTCCGTAGGTACGATATGTGCTTCGCACCTTCGAAGTGCAAAGTACTTCTACAAGACTGGCAGTATTCCAATCCTGTACTCACTCTGGATGGTGAGCAGATAGAAGTAGTCGAAAAGTTCGTGCATCTAGGTAGCTGCATAAGTGCTGGTGGGGGTGTGAGATCAGTGTACGTATAGTGAATGCCAAAGCGGCTCATGCCAATCCGTGCAATCTTTGGGGCCTTCATGATGTTAGTCTGGCTGAAAAAGGTCGGATCTACAACGCGTCGGTGAGAGCAGTTTTGCTCTATGCTTGTGAAATCTGGCCTCTCCGAGTTGAGAATGTTAGACGACTCTCTGTGTTCGATCATCGCTGTCTCCGAAGGATTGCTGACATCCAGTGGCAACACCATGTTAGTAATGCAGAGGTTCGGCATCGTGTGTTCGGGCACAGAGATGATAATGCAATAGATGTCACCATCTTGAAACATCGACTTCGGTGGCTTGGACATGTTCTCCGAATGTCGTCACAGAGAATCCCACGTCGTGAATTATTTGCCGACTCCGGGACTGGTTGGAGGAAGCGGATAGGTGGTCAGTGCATGATATGGTGTCGTGGTATGAAAGAAAGCTGCAAAGGACTGGCTTCTGTCGGTCCTTCACGCCTCCCTGGTTGGGGTCCGAGAGATGGTGCTACACAGTGGCTAGAGACGTTATCAGATATGGCTCAGAATAGAAGCCAGTGGCGATCCTGCTGTAACCTTCTTTTACTTTCTTCATGAAAAGTGGTTGTCTTCCTTAACTAAAAGATTTCTTCTGATTGTACCTTTCCGTTCCCTCATTATTACTATTATTATTACTACACTACCTTAAACCAATCTCTTCGTTACTGTTCTCTTTTTTTCCTTCTCTTCGAATTCTCATTGTTTTGTGTGGCGCATATATATTGGCGCTCTCTTGTCCCAATATTTATGTGTTCAAATAAATAATAACCTATATCAAGATGATCTGCTAATATTCAATATTTGCACAATGCTGAACTCGAGACAACAATTCTAGGTTATAGGTATACCTAACTGATAAGGCATGAATGAGTATAAACAGAAATTCTGTATCCCCTTATTAGCCATAAACAAATGTGACTGATAGGTCAAACACTCTAATATATTTTTCCTGTTATCCTGAATGATCAGTTTACAGAAAACACTTGTAGTTGGCAGTGCACGTTGTCAGTGCACAGGGATTATGTATATTCCCTCCTGGCTGAGCTCACCTACTTAGGGATCAAGTCACTCTCTATAATTACTGCCCCTAAATGTCCTTGTACGGCTGAGAGTGAGGAGAACCCTCTTTCACTCTCGAAATGTCCTCATATGGCCATGTGTATATAGCCACTATCAGGGAAGTCTTAATCACTTCCTTCGCTAAGCGGAGCTGCTGTTTACGTAATTTCGGGGACTAAAAGCGAAAATCCGCCGCTTCATCCATGTTGGTGGGTACGGAGAATCCACTCGAAGTTGTTGGAAAACCCTGATTTAAAACCAGTATCGCACATGGGCTCCGGAATCCTGAGGGAACAAATGGAGTATGAACCTATTTTCGGTCACCAACTACCATGGGACCAAATCTCCGAACGTCGCTTCGCTGCCTTGTGGATTTCAGGTCGTTGTCTCCGAAGAAAAACACTTGTTTCGGTTTGGGCAACTAAACAATATCAGAGTCCACACAACTATTTTATGTTGCACATAAATATTTTGGTGTCTTTTTGTACCAACGATTACGTGTTTAAATAAATAAACTACAATAACTACATTTAAAGAGGTATTTTGGATGGAGCTGGATAGTTTCGGAAAAACTAACCCAATTATTGCTTTCTAGGAGTGGTACTGTTTTTACTTTTCGAATTTTTGTAGGTTCGTTTGACAAAACACTTCACATGGAATTCTTTAAGGGACTTCGTTTTCGAACTTAATGCTGCACCTCAACCTGTACTTAACCCACTCGAGTTATTAAAATATAAATGGTTTATTCTTTAGATAATGTGGTGTGTAACCAAAGAGTATCATTTTGGAGGAAATCGTTAGAATTATTAGTAGAAATACTTCAAAATAGCTCAAAGAAGAAATACGTCACAGTATCTCAAAAAAGCTTTTTAAAAATTCATAAAAACTGTACAAGATGATAGGTGTATCAGTTATTTACAGTTATCCTTTTCCTGTCTCAATCACTATCACTATGGTCTGAATAAACCATTCCAGGTAATGGTTGACACGGCTGAGTATTATCATTATTATCATTACTGGTACATGACACCTGTTGATCAACATTACTATCTTTTGATTTATCATTTGTTAACGAATTATTCGTTGAGGAATTTGAAACATTTATGTTATTCATGGTCGATGCTTTAGAATCACCATCAAGCTTTGGAATTTTAGTTTCTGATACTGACTTCTTTTGCACCCGTAAAACACCTTGAAGTTGTCGCTTTAGATAAGATTTCCCAATCTATGATAAAAAGAAATCATGAATATTAGAGGACTATGTATTGTAACGAACAGTCAAGAAAATAGTAACTAAATAATAGATACAGGTATATATGACGATTTTTCTTGTTGTTACGCGATCCCAAGTCAGGGAAACTAGCTTCCTATACTTCATTGTGACCACAGGGTATGAGTAAAGTATGATTTAGTGCTAAAGACCAGCGTACAATCAAACATTTGGCGATATATGGTTAGTTTAAAGGGAAGCAAATGAGGGTTGCACAGTTTCGTAAGCATAAGTAAACCAGTATATTTCAAGATACATTTTACTTCAAACTGTATGTGATAAAAGTATAAGCACATATACGGCTAAGTGACATTTAAGCTAAAAAGGTTTAGCAAGTGATAGATAACAAGTTAAGACGAGCTGATTGGACTCATTAATCAATAGTACGTTTGTGCATTTACATTTGAGAGACTTGGTATATGAACACTACAAATACTGACTGGCACTAGACCATAACGTCACTACCGTTATCTCATCTGACTGATCACAATCACCTATCGTCCCAATATATAAGAGAGGGTTAAAATCATCCTGTGATAACCATAGAGGGATTAGTTTAACTATTATAGCATCTAAAATACTAGCCTCGATAATTATTAGACGCCTAACTAAGACTCGTGAACTGCAAACATGAGAGAATCAAGCTAGCTTCAGACCTGGTCGTGGCTACATCGACCACATATTCACCATTTGTCAGGTTCTAGAACACAGGCAGATTTAGTGGCGTCTGGAAGAGGTGATCTTTCTTGACTTAAGGGCAGAATTCGACTCCGTAGACCACGAGAATCTGTGGCAGTGTCTGTCATTGAAAGGCGTATCTCAGAAGTATATAAACCTTATGAAGGCTCTTTGCTCGAATACTACTAGTCGAGTCAGAGCTTATGGTGAACTGTCATCTACTTTTGCAACCTCAAGTGGTGTCCGTCATGGCTGTCCACTTTCTCCATTTTTGTTTAACTTCATCATAGACCTATTGATGGAAATAAAACTCTCGTCCACTGAATTCTCGGGTATTGATCTCCTTCCAGGAGGTCCACTGATCGACTTAGAGTACGCAGATGACATAGTCCTGTTTGGTGAAGACGCTGACAAAATGCAGAGTCTTCTGGTAGCACTAAGCAACAATGCCAGAATGTTTGGGATGCGCTTCTCTCCCTCTAAATGCAAGTTGTTGCTTCAGGACTGGTCTCCGTCAACACCTGAACTAAGGATAGGGAGTGAAGTAGTCGAACGCGTCGACAACTTCACTTATCTTGGAAGTCTGATCAGCCCTAATGGGTTGGTATCGGACGAAATATCAGCACGGATTCGAAAAGCTCGTTTGGCTTTTGTCAACTTACGTCACCTATGGCGAAGGCGAGATATCCGTCTATCAATAAAAGGACGAGTATACTGCGCGGCAGTCCGTTCTGTTTTAATTTACGGCAGCGAAACATGGCCCTTAAGAGTAGAAGACACCCGTAAGCTACTAGTATTTGACCACAGATGCCTTAGAAATATTGCTGGCATCTGTTGGGATCACCGGGTAAGTAATAGTGAGGTTAGACGCAAAGTATTAAGGAATGATGGTAAATCAGTTGATGAGGTTGTGAATCTTCATCGACTAAGATGGTTGGGCCGTGTTACGTATGTCTGAATACCGATAACCACGATGCGCAATGCTAACCGGTGTTAGAGATGGTTGGAAGAAAGTCAGTGGCGGCCAAACCAAAACGTGATATCAGTGCTTGAAGTCACTAACTTCTGGTCTGAGTCATGTTGAGAGATGCAGACTACTTGTTTGGGGTCTGCGTGACTATCGTAACCAATGATTGGAGACTCTTGGTGACATGGATCAGAATCGATCACAATGGCGTCGGTTCATACATTCTCTGTCTTCCCTTAAACTAAGAGTTTAAAATCGCTTCATAACTTTCTTTCTACGTACTAATTCTTTCATCCTGTACTATATCCTTATTGCGATCTTTCTTTTATATATTACCAAATCTGAATTAACTACTTTTATGAATCCGGTGTTCATCTTGTTGTGTTAATGAGGTAGGGCAACTTGGACCGATGCATATATTTGCCTGGTCCTATGTTGTAGCTGACTGACTGATAAAGTCACTACTGATTGAAGATGTACCGAGGTGGAAACTGTCCAGTAGTGTCGCCGGCGATAACCGCAATTCATGGTTGGAAACCCTACCTGACACGGGCTTGGGTCGGTCAGAGCGAAGCCTATATATTTGTTGGTTATTTTACTTTGGATTATTAATATTGTAGTCTAAATGAGTCTGATATACACTTCAGGTAACTTTAGAAAGTAAAGCCCACGATGTTAACATGCACTTAACACTTTTATGACCATACCATTCTCATTACCATAATTACTACATATTTAGGTCGCACATTCTGAAACAGTTATAAACAATTCCCGTGATACAAACCATTCTGTAAACTCTAAAACGAACTTTGAACATTCGGGTTTAAAATTATCCCATCTACATACGACCACTAACAAACCTGAATAATAAATGGATAGTTATCAAAAGAGAGAATCTCTGGCCAACTAACTGGATATTTATTGAATGGTTACAACCATAATTTATATACACATTATTGAAGCAAGACAGTATGACTATAAATTAATTGTAAGATAATTATGCAGTGATGTAAATGAAGATTACAAAGCAACTAGTGAGACTGTACACTTGCACATAATGTCCCTTATACAGTTTTCTTAGAGTTAAGAGAAAAATCAATTTTGAGCCCTAATGTTGACTAGAAATTTAGTTTAAAAAATATCAAGAAACATGGCGAGAAGTAACTAAAGTTCGAATGTATGACAAACTCCCATAAAGTTTATTTTAATTCATTTGTTTATTAACGAAGGAACTGTGACATAGCATTATTACTGGTGTGAAAAGATGTGTCTGGTAAAAAAAATCGAACCCAAACCATATCAGTTTGTGCACTTACGACGTTAAAAAAGTATAATTAATATCCCTTTATCAAATGAGGATTAGAAAAAATTGTCTAAACTACGTGTTGGTGTTACGCTAATTGAACAATCAGAAAATTATTTAGGGAACAGCAAGAACAACGACAAACGTAAAGTTGACATTTTTAATACACAGTAAGTTGCGCAACAAAAGACATCCGTTCTAGCACTAACTCCAAGTAGCCAGCACTTACAGCAGTCCTGATATTTTCTCGTTACCACTTACAACGTAAATTGACTAGATCTAGCGAAAAATAAGATTCGGAGACGAAGCGGAAGGATTATGAAACTTGGGAAAAAAACTTTTGTACATCATTAAAATATATTCTACTCACTTCTACTGGTTCCTTTCTATTGACTTTCATAAGATCTTTCAAAGCTAGAAAAAATAAACAATTAGATATGACATCATGAACCTGGTATTCTGATTGGCTTAGAGGAATTTTCACCTCCAGACTGCAATGGTAATGAGTGGACTTGCTCGGATTTTGAAGCAAGTAATTCCCTTTGGAAATAAAATTAGACGGCAAGAAAGTGGTCTACTTTATTAGTGCATCGTCTGCTTCTTTTTCAGCCTCCTTGACAGCTTCTTCTTCTCGCCACATTTGCCTCAAAAGAACATGATCTGCTTCCATGGTGGCTTGACGTTGATTTAACTGTTTCAAGTCTTCGATTACTTCGACCATTTCCATCTCTTGTTTGCTTTGATCAGTTCTCTTTTCCAGTAATTTCATTGGGTTGTTAGCAAGTTCCTCTTCCTCTTCAGCTTGACGTTTAGCTTCCAGTTCTTCAGCCGTTTTTAATGCTTCGAAGTTTCTTTTAGCTCCACTTTCTAGGACGTAATCTCCGCTTTCTAAATCAGTCTATGAACAACAGTTGACGTAGAAAATGAAACTCAGAGAGCTTACACGCCAGATAATCTCAGCACAGCACAAAGGACATCGGATGTAAAACCGATAGTGTCTTAGGCCCAAGTAATCTACATTTTCTGCAGTTTCCATTCGCGAATTGAATTTTTTAGCTTTGTATATATAACCATTGCACGTATTGCACCTGATGCTAGTGATATTACAGTAAACAAAGTTACCTCATGTTAAATGGAGCCATTGTTCTAATATTAAACTGTTTACGTCGGTCGCCTCTTCTAAGACGAGGTATTTTTGAAGGATCATAGTCTGGAGGGAAATATTTCTATAATTTATAGTCACCAGTGTAATCTTAACTAACTTACATTTAGGACTTTGCGTTCGGTCATTATTAAAACTCAACGAGAAGAAAAGTACCTGCAGAGAAACAATACAAATATTATATGTAAAAATAGCATTTAAAATAATCTCAGCGATTGAAATTTAAATAATCCTAACGTTTCGTCCAGCTAACCTGTCTGGACTTCTTCAGGGTAATAATCAATTTTGTGATATGTACTGGTCTTAAAAATTACAATGAATACGTGCAGCGAATATATTGCATTTCAAGTTGTGGGCATTTACTACGACATGAATTGACTACAGTATTGAACTTTAGAAGATGGAAAAACTACAGAAAACTAAATCAGTCTTTAGTAATAAAGATAGGAAGTCGATCGACCTATATTAATCCTTGCAGTTTGTAATACTGTGGAGGTTTAATCTCGTTTTGACTATATCAACAGAAGGTGCTGATATTACGTGTTCCGGTAGAGCATTCCAGTAATGCACTACTCGGTGCGAGCCCCATTTACCCTTATCCTTTGTCTCCTGTCATGGAGAAAGTTACTTATCCAATATACGACTGTATAATGGACTCCAAAACGTTCCAGTTTGAATTTAAGACCAGAGTGGGAGACCTTATCGAAGGTCTTACTTAGATCTATGAAGATTATATCCACAGGAATATTTCGATCTTTTTGCAGCAGCCCAAACTATTCTGTTGCAATGAGATTTGTCAAGCATGATAGGTCTCTCCGAAAACCATGTTGTTCCCTGTAGAAAAAATTATGCCCCTCAACATAGTTTATAACAGATATCCGAATGATTTTTCCCACCAGTTTTACAACTGCACTAGTTAAGCTAACGGGCCTATAGTTACTAACTAAATCCCTAATCCCAGCCTTATACACCGGACTTATCATAGCGTCTTTCCAGTCTCTGAGCAGTCTGGACTGCTTCCGAGACATGTCGGACTGTATTGCTAACGGTTTAGCAATTACATCTGATATGGCTTTCATAATCCTATGATGAATATCATCGGGACCACTAGACTTATCAGGTTTGAGATGCTAAAGTAGCCTTGACTGCAGGGTCCATCAGCGAGCCGCCACGATCACAATGAATCGTTGGTCGTTGCTCATTACTGATAGAAAACACTTTACTGAAATATTCCGATAGAGCTTCAGCTTTTTCGGTATCAATTTCTGCCAAGAGTAACGGATTTTCTTGTATCAAAAGTGATGGAATTCCATAGCTTCTCTGAGTTCGCCTTTTTATATACGAGAATAACCGTTTCGGACTATATCTAGAATCCTTAACCAATTGTTTTTCATAGGATCGTCTAGTCTTACTTATTAACGCTTTACAGGCATTCCTAATCTTACAATAACTGAATCTGTATTGTTCTAAGCCAGTAGAGATGAACATATTCCAGTGCCTCTTCCTTCTTCTAAGAAGTTTCCTGACTGCTTTATTTATCCATAGTGGACTGTTATTCGGTCTTCGCGGTACCAGGTATGGTGTGAACGAGGACGGAACTAAACTAAACTTACCTTTAAATACAGACCATGCTTCTTCAACTGATAAGCTAGTATCTACAAACCAATCTGTCTTAGCAGCGCATTTCTGAATGGCTGATATGTTAGCTTTCCATACATTTGGGCGAGGTGTAACCTGATCGTATAACATATCCCTAATTCTAAACTTGAATGACAAAACAGCGTGATCGCTGCTCACTAACGGTGGAAGAATATTTAGGTCAACAATATCCTCAGTATCATGAGTGATTACCAAGTCCAACAGAGAAGGACCTTGGTTAGCACCAAAACGTGTGGGTTTGGGTACATGCTGCACTAATGGATGCTCCATTATTGTTATCAGGAGTTTACTATCAAAGGAGTTTATAGATCCTTCCCTGGTCATCTCAGTCCAACTAATATCAGGTGCATTAAAGTCTCCTAATATCAAGCATCTGATATTTGCACTCCAAAGCTGAATGTGCTTTATAATAAAGTCATCAGCTAGGCAGACTGGGCTGCGATAGATGACACCGAGCATAAATGTACTACATCCGGTAGTCAATTTATAGCTAATGACTTCACAAGTACCGCTATCATGGGATTCGCTAGCAGAGGAGCGGATATTCATATTATAACAGGACGCCACCTCCTTTTCTACACCTATGTCTATCACTCCTGAGGTAATTGTATCCGGATAATTCTGGAGTAATGTCTAAGTCATGGACTAACCAAGTTTCTGTCACTGCTACAATGAGTGGCTTTAATCTGTCCACTAATGCTTCTAGTTCATAGAACTTATTTCTTAGAAAACGAGCGTTGATTAAAACGAAAAAAAATAATAAACGAAAGATATTCTACAACTAAACAGAGACAAACAAGCTTTCAGTATACAATACGTCTACATCTTATTTCGTCATTTGACGCACAACACAAAAGTGAATGTTATGTAGCATTCTGGAGCAAGTGTCAGATCTATTTGAGTAGAGCTATTAAAGTCACATAAAATCCCTCCTTATAATACAATACGACCAGCTTACCACCTGTTTTATTACGTTATAAAATCTTTATACTTACTTTAATTATAACGTTTAGAAACTTTTCCAATCTCCCAATTTCGGGGAAGCGGCCATAGTAAACTTCGGAGAAATGGCACAAAAACCCGAAAATTTTCCCAGAATCTCATTACACTTTGGGGAAGTGTGTCTATATTTATTAATCATACTAAGAAATTTTAGTATTTTCATTTGTTATAACAACGTTATAACGTTTCCTTCCACGCTTTGGAATGGAAAAATCAACTTAATGCAAACCTGAGTACCAGCATAAAAAGAGGTTCATACTTATAAAGACGACTTTTCACAGTTAACATCAATGAATACTCTCTGGTAATAATAGTTAAGCAAAATTGGAATAACAAATTGAGATAGAACGCACTCTTCTGTTTTTTTAGTATCACGATGATACCATGAAGTTATGGACCTCTGCCGAAACCTGATCTATTTACGCATTTGTCAAGGTCACTTTTTATTCAGTTTTCAGTTTTCAGTTTCAGTTTGGGAAGGACAGGAGGCTCGATGGCCTATGTTAGTCCTGGCAATGGTGGTCTCTCAGTTGATCCAACTTTCTTTTAAAACAGTCGACGGATGGAGCCTCAACCACGTGCTGAGGTAGTGAATTCCACTCGTTGATGATTCGATGGGAAAGTCGATAGTCAGCTGACAAGTAATTTGTTCTCGGCTTATGAACTTTTTTGGAGTGTCCTCGTAAATTCTCTGTTTTGGAAGACAAGAAAAATGAGGGCATATCAGGTGCAAATTTATCACTAAGCAATTTGTAGACTGTAATCAAGTCGCCTCTAGTTCTGCGATATGACAACGGGAAAAGGTTCAGCTTGGCCAGTCGAGATTCATACGGAAGCTTCGCTATTGCGGGAACCAGCTTAGTCGCCATTCTCTGAACCTTTTCCAGAAGCTCTCTGTCTTTTTTAAAGCAGGGGCTAGCCGCTTGTATGCAGTACTCAAGTTTAGGACGAACGAACACTGTATACAAAGTCAAAAACGTCTTAGTGTCGACATGACTAAAAGCCCTACGTATTGACCATAACGTTCTAAAACTTTTGGCGGCTATTGCACGGCAGTGTGCAGTAGTCTTTAAGTCTTGACTAACGATAACTCCTAAGTCATTATATGTCTGGACGACAGGTAGCTCAGTGTTATTCATCGTGTATGTATCTGTGCCTTGATGACCGATATGCATCACAACACACTTGGAAGTATTTATCGGCAACTGCCATGTTTGAGACCATTCAGATAACTTCTTCAGGTCATTTTGAAGTTCTAAGCTATCACTCTTACATCGTATCGTTCTCCATATCTTGACATCGTCAGCATATAGCAAGACCGATGATGATAGGAGACAAGGAAGATCATTTACATATAAGAGGAATAGCACTGGCCCCAAAACTGTACCAACCTATCTTAGCGAATTCCAATATCCAATATTTAGCCATGAGCTCAAGTAAGCAAATATTTCTGGATGGAACAGAAGAAGCTTTTGCCTAATGGGTTTCCGTATATAGTGGCAATGGAACACCAATGTTGACATACCGAAACCCAGGTATATTTAACAATGAAAATATGAATACTGGTAAATTGTAGTGATATACTGTCCTGGGTCCTGAAGAATATGTTGAGTTTTCTCTTAAAATAATGCTGTAAAGACACCAAGACTAGCTCGTTCGTCGGCAAATTCCGGACGTTAGCTACTCCTAGAGAGTAAATGATGTGACTATAGTCCACACTACTATATTGTCTCCTATTTCTTAATGTTAGCCATAGATTTTGTGCTGAAACTGAACTTGAGTAGGTATTAAGAGGATGCTCGAGAGTAGTCATGGTGCAATAATTCACTAGACAGCTACCTATGTGATGTCTATACTCTAAAGAGTAAATCTATTCAATTATTCGCAGCGCTTTTCCTGAGGTTTGTGTTTGAAATTCCTAAGTGGTTTCATGTGTTGATCACCAACGTAGATGACCTGTGCCGATGATTGGGGGTTACCATAGACGGGAAAAAATCGTGTGACCAACCAGCTAACACCAAAGTCACACTTCATGGTTAATACCATTTCGTCGTATCCAGGTACTGTGGCTGTTTTGATGACGGTACGACACAGACAAAGTAATTACAGAAATATATTAGTTAGAGTAAGTACAAGGAGCGGTATGCGACCACCACCGCATGGGTCAGCACGTGGCGTGTAGTTGAATGATGCGTAATCGTTATCGTTAAACTTGTCGAGGATCGGTGGATTGTTCGATATATAGTGACACAAATGCCGGAAAATTTACCTAGGACCCAGTGACGTTCCACTAAACCTACACATTCGAAAAGGACAAAACAGATCAAACTAGCCTCGACTTCAAAGACTAGAATGACTGTATGGTAAACTGGGGCAAAACAACAATTAACAATTTACTGGAGTAAAACTCGGAAAGAAAAGTATTCTACCGAACATTAGGTTCAAGGCAAATTCTACGGGTGAAAAAAGATATTTTTGTTGCGTAAGAACACAGCAAAAGTCTGGGAAATGCAAATCACGTTAGCAAAGATGGCGCTGTGATTAGTTCGTCTGGCAGAGCATTCTAGATGTGGTCAAATGTTGATAAGAGAAAATGAGAGCAATTCTGTCTGTCCACTCTTCGATTTGCGATCTTTTTAGGTTTGCCTTGAAGAACAAGCTGATGATATTGTTGCACTATGGTGGTGTTGAAGTTGCCTAACGTACTTAATATGTTGTATGCTGCTATAGTTCAATGAGATTGATGCTAAATGTTGGAGTCTGTCCTCGTAAGATTTGTGCATCAAACCTATCAACCACTTGATTGCGTGTCTGTGCACTTGGTCCAAAAGGTTTATGTCGTCTTTAGAGACTTACCTATTCATAACTAAGTATTTTAACAACCCATACTTCTAACAGACATTCGACATGTATCTTCAGATATACAAAACACGACCCCGATCAATACATTTAGCCGGGAACATTACACAACGAGTCATGTCTACCGAACTACCCGCATTTTTGTGAGCGCCCGGATCAGCTCTTGCTTAGCTAAACCTGGCAAAAAACGAACTCAATCATACGTCAGAGTTAACAGTGATCCGGCTGTCGAAGAACAGAAGAGCTTTTCTTCACATAGCTACAATCTTCATTCAACTGGGGATTGTCGGCGACTTACCAGGAAAACGAATCCTGATCGTTACCCTCTGTCACACATCAACACCCTGAAACCTAACTTGAATAATACAACCCTTTTGGCAAAAGTCAATCTAGTTAAAGCGCATATCCGAATTCACCTGCTGCAGTTGGTATTGCAAGAACGACTATCCTTATTCATTGCAGCTTTTTCGAACTCGATTGAGAGGGTGTTCGTTTTTCGATTTGTACCACATCTGATTTGCAAGAATTAAATTTTCTGAGTTTCTGTAGTTCATAGCTATCAGGAGCGGAAACATTTTGTTTGAGAGTTGTAGCACTCGAAGTAGCTTGGATGCGCTGATTATCGTTGTGTTGAAAATGCCCATGGAACTTGATGGTCAACTCCTCTGTAGTATGCCGTGTCTTTGAGCTTCATAGTGGCTATCACCTACTAGCCCAGGTTACCTTGAAACCAGCACGCTGGCTGTTTCTTGGGTTTTCGCTGATATTCCAGCAGTATATATTGCGGCTCACGGGTTATCTTATCTGATTGAGACTTGTAAAGGAAATGTGGTGAATCCAATCTTGCCTTCAATGGCAGAAGCCTATGATTTGCTTTACTTTGGCCTGTAACCAGTGCAATTACATGGCTAGGGTGGTACTCCTTATTATTGTAGATCACCAAAGTAGATGATCTATGTCGAAAATGATCGGAGTAGTTACTTAACATGCCAGTCAACAGACTAAAAAGAAAAATTTGAGACAATTTTACGTGAAGTATGCTTGGCAAATGTTTCGAGGGAGAACAATAATAATGAGAGGTGCAAATATGCTTCGCGAGGATTAAAAATTTGGGAAATGAAATTGGAATATGAAATTTGACCGTACTAGTAATCGATTTCGCGTGTAGCCAGTAATTAGTCCACGAGTCCTGCGTTTAGAATTAAATGGACGTGTTTATGCAACAGTTGAAGCAACTATGGTGAGAGTGGCTGATAGAAAAGATTGTATCAACAGCAAAATAGTTTTATTTTTTTATGAATGTGGTTATGAGATTTGCCTACAAGCATGGTGAAGAGGTAGCTGGTATCCTTGGTAGTGTTGGATATTGGCATGACCTTTGTACGTCCTTAAGGCGCTATGTTCAGAAGATTTGCGAAGTTCGTCTGATTTGTGGTTTTTTAATCCTTTGGTTAAACTCATCAGTAATGGACTCAGCAGATAACCCTTTTGCCTCACTTGTGAAAAATTCGTCAGTCGGTAATTTGTTTCATATGTTTTTGAGGTAATATTTACTTAGGTCTGGGTCCAGCAATATTTGGTGCCTGTGAAACTGAGGTTACTAAAATCTTGGAGAACATACTGCTCATTACCCATGATAAAGGTTTGGAGTTATTCACATGTTTTACTTTCACAGATCTTGTTCTTGGTGAATCCGGTAGACCTAGTCATTTACTTTACATACAACCGTTCTCGTGTGGAAATGTTCAAATTTCCGGGAGCAGTTTGGATGAACTTATATTTGACCGCACCCAAATGAGAAAGTTCAACGATTATGATGTTGTCAGCCTTAAGACAGGTGCAGCCACGGATATCAATGACGTTTTAACTTCTAATCCAATTAGTTATTTGGTTTCTTCTTATCGCCGCGCGTGTGCAATTAAACAAACAAACGCTGTAAGTAGGTGTTGAACTATGATTTGTTATGTTAGCTTTGCTTCTTTGTATCATTGAGATCCTAAATTCCCTCCTACTCCGAGATTAACGATAAAAAGCTGTTGTTGAACTGTTACTTTCTTGTTTCCGTTTGTTACTTAATAATGAGCACAGTGTTATAAACTGACTGGTTTTCCCTATATAAACTTTGAATCAAGTTCAGCTTGCGTCTTCTCCGATTGTTTCAGTGCAGTGGATGAATTACTGTTTGGGATCGATGCAGTATATTCCACTCTGTGTTAACTTTCTAGGAGTTCGATTAGTTTGAGTAATAATGATGCAAAACCGTACATTACTGTATCAGTACATTGTTGAAACTCCTCCTATCATTGGATTGTCGCAAGTAAGTTGGGAGATATAGATATCAGAAATCTAGGCATTTTGTTCGGTTTGCTCCTTGACCAACTATTTTTTAATTTTTTCCTGTTATGAGATCCACCTTTAGCAACACCAGTTCATTCATAGTTGTTTCGAATGATATATCGGGCTACTGGAAGTAATAATAATTTATGTGCTATGATATTATTAGGCTAGTTAGCAGATGTTGAAATGCTTAGTTACCTAAAGGTGCTCATATGAAATGATGGTCACCTTGTAAGCGATTGTTTTCTCTGCAAAGTATACCATAGTTTTCAGAGACATTTATCGTTTCTTCATTGTAGTCTGTCTAAACAAGTCAACAGAATTCCCTGTTACTATATGTTATGAAGTTTGTTTTTAATTTTATAACTTTTCGTGCGAATAGCTATAGTATACGACTTCCTACTTTAATCTGTCGCTGTCAGCCTTAATATTAGTATAAACTTGCCTTATATCTTTATATGTCAGTACTGCCATCTATATTTTGTTATGTCAGCTTTCACAGATCGTTGAAGATTGTCGCAAAAGTATTGTAAGACAAATTGTACTTCTGTTGCTTGTTGATGCTGAGTCTGATAATCCGGAAAGCAGCACGAACCTATTTGATATCATTTATCAAGCTCTCTGCACAGGTATGTTAACTTGAGGTCACTTTTCGCATGTAAACTGTTAACCTTTTTAATTTGGAGTTTTGCGCATAGTACACTTCATTCCTCTTATAAATTAACTTAGCACTTTTTATAGTTTTTTTATTGTTTTGTCTAATGAATGTTTTTAACTTTTTAATTTTAATAAAAGATGACGGCGATCAAATTGCTTACATTCAAAAAATGTTTGACGAAGTTCTTAATCATCTGGAGTCGGAATCTCTATCGGATGTAAGTATAGAAGAATCTTGTCCTCAGTCTGCATTAAACAGTTTACGACCGTTGGTCAATCGCCTTCTAATTCAGTTAAGAAATATTTATTATTCCTCAGTGCAGTCACCAACAGTAGTAAATAGCTTCCTAAATAAACAGTTGGTGGGTGCTAGGGAACGTGTCTTGTTCTGTCCTCAACGCCGTCCTCTGTTGATCATGACAATTTGGTTATCTAAGTATTCAGTCACTGCTCAGGTATGTCTATTTCAGGTTATTCGGTGTTTTCAATATTCTAATCATTATTATCAAATGATGCTTTTGTTTGGGATGTTTTTCTCGTTTTGTTACTGTTCTAGTCAGTGGTCGGTTGCATTTTTCTATAATGAAGGTGATTCGTAGACTTCTATTCGCCCCCAAATGCGCTGGTACGGCCGAGTGTAGGGAGAGTCCACTCTCCTTTTCGAAATGCTCTCACATGGCCATGCGTATACAGCTACTGCCATGGAAGTCCTACTCACTGACTTCTTGAAGTGGGGGTTTGGATTACAAAATTGAGAGTACAAAAAGCGAATGTCCGGTGCTTTAATCGGGTTAATGTGTACGGAGGATTCACCTGAAGGAGTAGGACAACTCTGATTTCAAACCGATGGTGTAAATGTGCTCCAGAATCCTGAGGGAACAAATGGAGAATGAACCAATTATTGATCACCAGCTACCATGGGACTACATCTCCTTGCGTTACTCCATTGCCTTGTGGATCAGACCTTTAGGTTGAAGGCTCAGGGTGTGGCCCCCTAAGAAAACCACCTGCCTCGGTCTGGGTACTTGGGCAGTATCACAGCCCACACACAAATCAAGTGACTTGTGTGGCACATATGTATTTGGTGCCCCCTTGTAACAATATTTACGTGTTCAAATAAATAAATAAGTTCGCTACATGATACTGCATGGATCAGTTCGCTAACTGATAGTTGTTGGTGATCTTCATCCCGGGAAGTTTTATCATTTCTGCTATCAGTTAGAAAGTGTTTGATTACACATAAAAGTAGTACGTATAACTCTTAGTTTATTTTCTGAAACTCTCATTTAGGATTAAAATCTTTGTAAGTTGAAATCCCTTTGCTATCATTTTGGTATGCCTAGTTGAATGTATTGTATATTTTCTAACAGGATAAATTGTAACCTAGTATCAGTATATCTATACCATTGTTGCTAGTATAAAACTTTAGTCCAAAATATAGATAGCATTTAAAACGTTTTGTTCAATTGTTAGTAAGAGATTTCTACTTGTTTTACGAAAAATTTAATTAAATTGTGTCTTAGTTTCCAAGTCTTTGGACTGTGAATTTGACTATGTTTAATTATCAATCTTTTTGAAACAGCATTACCACTGTGCTTGAGGAATAACAGTCAAGTTAAGATCAATAGAGAGCTTTTCTAATTTTATCAGTTCTTTTATTTTTTTTTTGCGAAAACTGTATTTGACATTACCGCATATAAACGTGTACATTATTTGTTAAACTTTAAAAACTTTTCGTACCAATTTCTTTTTTACAGCTTCTTATTGAGTTGTCGTTTCCTCAGAGTTTCTCCAGTGGTTCATTTAGACCTGATGAATTCGAAGGTGGTCTTTTGGGTCGACTTCTAGTTCCCAGTCATTTACATTCACCTCAAGCAGCGGAAACAATTTTCCTAACTAACCAGGCTCCAATCGGTGAATTTTTTACGGAAGAAGTACCTCTAAAATCTGTTGTAGAGTCCGAACAACGTACAATATGGCAGGTATGTTACCAACATTTGTGGCACTTATCAGATATTTTTATAAGGTTCCTTCACAATAATGTCCAAAGATTAAGTTATTTTAGACTATAAGGATGCAGCTATGACGCCCACTGGGATGCTATTATGTATACTGGTTATTTGATAAAATGTAATGCAACTGAGAGGGAAGAGGACTATTCTTTGTTCAGTTATATCGAGCGCAAAGTATTTTAACCCCAGTGCATGCAGTATTTACTTTATTGGATGTTTACTTTGTACTACTCGTGAGGGTAGTGTTTGATGCACTTATTATTTATCATAGGTATCTGAGTTTTTTCACTAATTTACGGATTCAAACCATGCTTCGTATAATTTGTACAATCCTACTTCATTAACCTTGGATCATAAACCAGTATACGTACCTATACATAGTTGCTGAGTTTTATTACATTGCTCTGTATCATTTTAGTAGGTTTGATTTTTCCGATGGATCTATTCTTTCTATGCCCTAATCAGTTGTAAAGCGTTTTTAACTTTACACCTAATTGGAAAGCACGTTCACAAGACTGGCATAACCCTCATCCTGCACTTATTCTGGGTAGTGAGAAGATAGAAGTGGTCGAGAAGTTCGCGTATCTGGGTAGTTGCCTAAGTGCTGGTGGTGGCGTGGGTGATGAGATCAATTCACGTATAGTGAATGCCAGAGCGGCTTATGCCAATCTGGGCCATTTTTGGCGCCTTCGTGATTTTAGTTTGGCTGTAAAAGGTCGGATCGACAACGCGCCGATGAGAGCAGTTTTTCCCTATACATGTGAAACCTGGCTTCTCCGAGTTGAGGATGTTAGGCGATTATTTGTGTCTGATCATCATGGTCTTCGAAGGATTGCTGACATCCAGTAGCAACTCCGTGTTTGTAATGTAGAGACTCAGTATTGTGTTCGAACACAGCGACGACGATTCACTTGTTGTCGCTGTCCTGAAGCGTCGACTTCAGTGGCTTGGACATGTCTTACGAATGTCGTCCCCGCGAATTACACATCGTGCATTATTTGCCGATTTTGGGACTGATTGTAAAAAGCAGAGAGGTGTTCAGTTTATAACATGGTGTTGTGGTATGAAAGAAAGTTGTACACGACTGGCTTCTGTTGGTCCTTCACGAATCTCTAGTTTGGGTCCTTCAGTTCGTACACAATACTGGCTTGAGGCATTATCAGACATGGATCAGAATTGAAGCTAGTGACGATCCTGCTGTAACTTTTACTTTCTTCATATAGGTGAGAAGAGCTTTAACTGAACTTCAACTGAAAGAATCCTTTCTGGTTGTATTTTTCCTAACTGAACTGCTTTTCCCATTATTTTTTTACTTATCCACTTATTTTTATTCACCTATTGTTTCTTTACTTTATTATACTCACCTTCCTTTTCCTATCTCTTCACGATCTCCTTTTCTTATTGTGTGGCGCATATTAATCTTAGTGTTTCAAAACAAAGGTTTTCACTATTCTTCAAATTGATCATTAGGGAAATCATGAATCGATTCTCTAACAATGCTTGAATAAGTTTGATACGGAAACCCCATGTACTGTGCTTGCTCTTACCGTGGTTAGTACTGAATGTTAGGTGGTGCGTATGTGTAACCGACTGATTTTTATCTTTCCATTGTTGATGTTAGGTGCTGCTATTGATCAATATTGGTTGACATATGTATATTCTGAGAGGATCACCGTGATGTTTTAACTGTCTTAAGTTTTAATTTACTAAAACAAAACTATCCTATGAAACCGTCTGTATTGCACTAAGCGTTGGGGTTTGAAAGGAACAACTTATTTCATAGTTTGAAAATAACCAATATTTTTAGTTATCATGTAAATGTTCTGCTTGTAGAAGTGATTAATCTATGTATTGGTATGGATTTCCAGTATCCTCATTCACTTGTTTTTGATCTATTTTATTTAACCAGAAACACTATTGTATGTATTGTCTGTTTTATGTAAATCATTCTAGTTAACTGAACAAATGGATTTGGAGTTGAACACCTTGTTCACTAATTTACTCAGGGTCGGCAAACGACGTCCATATATTAAAAAGTTACTGTTCAAATGGTTCGGTGGATGTATTCATGCTAACAAAGGTTTGTCTTAATGTTTCGTATTTTTCATTATTTACATATTTCTATTTACAAGTATTTATGTATATTCAGTCTGAATTCCTGAGAAACTGTATTATTGTTAGGATTAATCTTGTTTATCCATTTGCAATGAGGTTTGTTTTTGTAGTTTATTTGTACATACTTATAGCTAGAGTTCAAAAGTTCTATATACTTGCCAAATTAGTACTCAATAAAATAATTATATTTCTTTCAGTTCAAAGGACTTTGTTACTCAGACTAAATTATCCGGAAGGAATTTTATGCATACGATCTTTTTTTAATTTAGTAAACCATTGCTGCTTTTTAACTTTCGTAACGAAGGCAGAATTTTGACTTCAAGAAAATATATTCATCTTATCTAACATAAAGTTAACTAAACGCTGAATACTAAGAACACAAGTTTATATTCATCACCTTGTCTAAAATATGGTCTTTTGCGTTGCAAACTTAGGTTGGTTTCTCAGGAAAACGTTAGTAATAACAACTGACTAGAGTTTAAAATTACAATGCAATGATTAAAAAAAATCAGCAATGATCAAATAAAAATGAAGAAAAAAGAAAAAAAAACAGTCAAAACATATCACTAAGGGGAATTAGGGCCAAGGAAGGATGAGAGGTTGGACGAATCGTTTTTGCTCACAAAGTTCGGGACTGAGTTCGTGGATCGCCGATTCCTCAGCAGTGCATAAAATATTGATTCGACTTCCCTTCGGTCCAATTCCTTTGACTGTGTGGATTACTTTAAAAGACTCCTTTGGAGCGACGTATCCATAGTAGATTAAATGCTCCTTATATTCCTTCCCTACCCCTTGATTATTGCGTAACCTCATTTGATATTTAGTCTCTAATCAATTTAAGATGCAATCTTTTCTATCCTTCTATAGACATATTTCCCATATAACTATAAATACGAATGTACAGCTTAAGTAAATGATTTCGTCAAGAAGAAATTTTTCTCTGAATTCTCTTTATTCAATCACACAATGGGTTATTTCAATTATCTAAAACGTTAGTTTTATCATGATTCCATCTAACTTTTATATAAACATACTTTCTTAGCTTATTCGAGTTGTTGGAAAACGAGGTGTATGTTAATAAACTCTGTTGCACATATGTATTACTTTCTCAGAAGTATATTTATTGAAAACGACTTTATTTGATTTCGTTGTGTGCTTTGGATCATATACAGAATAATACAAAATACACTCGTCAAATCGGTGTACCTGCGTCCCTGAGTTGATGTTCACTCCGGGACTCGGACCCAGTACCGTTTGCTTCTAGTGAGTTGCTATCTGAACGTAGCAGCTAATTGGTTAACACGATGGCGTTCGAAGCATGGAGTATTAGGTTCGAGTCCCGGAATGAATATCAAATTTGGGGTGCTGGTACACTTATCTAAGGAGTCCCATATAGGACGAAATGTGTGTCCTGGATTTCACTGCTGGCCAAATTTAATCTATTCTATATCAGCTTGTGTCATAATGGCTAAATCGGCAATCCGCACAGGATGCCCAGATGTCAACCAAGATTGATTAAATTTCGGTCAAAAATATCAGCAGGGTAATCCAGACCTTTTCAAATAGAGCTAAATCATTGGGTTGTTTTAGTATCGACTTCTATTTTAGTGAACTCAAACAAAATCTGCACTTCACAAATTTTTGTTTCATTGAATAGTTTTCCGGTGAATACACTAAGTAAGAGAATAAAACCTTTATTTTACTAAATTTTGGTCATATCTATTCTATATACTTTAAAATACTGTGGTAGTACGCTTTACTCGTCTACTTTTTTATTATTTACCACATTCTTAAAAGTCTTCACTATCGAGGCCCTCCACCTGTCTCATTGATCCATGCTTTGCTAAAACCATATTCACTGACGATATTCCCCGATTCATTTCACTAGAAATCATGCAATTGATAAATTGGCAATTGGAACTCATAGACAACGTGATAATTTCTAGTCTAAAAGATCTATTTACCGCAATGTTGCTAAGCCTTGAGTTAGTTTCCTAAGCTCATCTAATAACCAAAGGCTAAATCTACACGACAACTTGAACACGATAGAAAGAGCGCTTTACTCCAGGGTTTGTTTGTGTACAGTATCTTGAGGGTGTTTATAGCATTTCAGACGGCCCTGGGCTTGTGCAAGGTTCTGGAACCCTGATAAGCATACTAGCAGGATGGGCAGTCATCCAGTCAGAAATGTGACATTTGACTCTTCACTTTATAGATGTTTCTGGGAAACCTTTGTTCAACGCTCATTGGATAAAATGTCTCCTAGCATTTGCAGCCCCCCTCTAGACTTTTTCTAGGAGTTCTTTGAATCTCACCAACAAATGTATTTTCTCCGGAAACACTCCTGAAAGTTTCATGAACTTCCTAAAATGTTTATTCCCCAAGTTTCACTGGAAATGTGATTGAGAGTTCTTCGCGCATTGATTAAACAGACCGTGTCTATTAAATAATCTAACTAGTCTGTTATACACATTTTTGGAGCATTAATAATTTTATTGTTGGGTTTGTTTTTTATTCATACAGCTCGTGGTCAGTTAGCACATTCAATTATGAATCATGATTTATTAAGTCGATCAAATACACCAAATCTAGCTGGTGATGGATTTCTTAGCAATTTTACAGCAGTTTTAGTTCGATTAACTGGACCATTAGTGACGTTGCCAGAGAAACCGCCGTTGGACAAAATTTGGCCAGAATATGCTACAGATTCATGTGCAGATCGAACAGTATTACCAGGTTTTTCTTTTTTCTTTTATTACAAATGATGTAGCAACTTTCAGTACGTATTAAAAACATCAAAGTAGTATTAATTTTGAAGCTTAAAGTCAAACACTAACTTTCTTCTTGGTAACAGTTAATCAAGACCTGATAAAATTCTGTGACCATATGGAACACATTATCGTTCATAATGATAATGTTGATATTATATTCTTTATCTTAATAACCTAAGATGACTAGTAGATTATCTGTACTCCGTGTATGTCCCAGTTCAAACGATTGTCTTCTCAATTAGTTTAATGCTTTCTGTTTACTTAGTGACTTGTTTAAACTTATAGCCGAATGGTGTAATCTTAACAAGTCAACTCTTGCTTGATGTGAAAATGAATGTATAAGGACGATTACTAGATGCCTGGGAAAGGTATCAAATCTCAAAAATCCAAATGACTTAATAGGTGAATGAGCGATCATGTGCTTGTTATGAAAGCTCAAAATTTTATGTTGCACTCAAATACTTGGTGGTTAGTAGTTTTAAATTTTCCTAATTAGGAATACTGTAATGTTAGTTAAATTTGTGCGAACATAGTAAAATGTCTGTATACTATGGAAGCGTTCTACTGGAATGAAGTATAAAGTAGTTTCATATTATTAGTTCTCAGCGTGGGAGGTTTGTGGAGATTGTTGAATGTAATTAAGATCACGAGTCGGCCTAAGTTAGGCAACCTTTGAAAACCAGGAAGCACTGGACAACTTTTTGGTATCGGTATGGGACTCCTTAGCAGAATACCTCCATGACCTTACCGAGGATCAAGCCCAGGACCCTCAAATCTCGCAACAAGCATTTAGCCTTTAAATCACTAAATCGGTATCTAGTGATTTATGATGTGAAAAATAGAAAGTGAATTTAAGCTTATCAGTGCTCTCCTAGCCTTGATTTTTTCTTAAAAAAAAGAAATGTACTATTAACAATTAAGGCATCATAGTCAGTGCAATTTTGCTTTCTTGTTGTCTGTTCAATTATGGAAAACTAACGATGCTTTCGTACAATGAACTTAGCATCTATCTATAATGTCTATAAAAACTTGGTTTTTGTGAACTTTACTTAATTAGCCATTCAGTGATTGATTTGTCGGCTTTTTTTTTCAGAAAAATTACTATACTGTTCTGTTGTTTTTCAATATTATTATCATTACTATTGTCATTATTATTATTGTCTTACTTCAGATTTACGTGGAGAAACACGTCTTGCACCTGCAAATAAAATTTTCAAGAAATCTGAAAATGCTTCACTTGTAGTAATGAATAATGAAGATTATCCTCTTTTAACAGAATTATTTTTTCTTGCACATGCGGCTATACGTATTGGATGGACATCGTTAATTGCTAGACATTTTGAAACTGGTCAACAATTGCATCGGTTAGAAGATCAATTACAACCACATGAATCAGATAATTCTAATGATTCTCAAGGTAAATTAATTTATTCAACTTATTTGTCAGATATAGGTTCGTGTACTTGACTTTCAGTCAAACTTTCAGTGCAAGATCTAGTAATACTGTCTAGTTGCTGAGATCTAAATAGGCGTTAAGGAATTTGAACCTGAAACTTCATGACTAAAAGTAGAACGCCTTAACTAAAAAACTGCCACTCAGGTTTGAAGTTTAGGTTTTTATAAAGTTAGGCACCTGCATGAAAATAGATTCAGAAGAACAAGAGAAAAAGCATTTAGATAATGAAATACTGACTTATGAAGCATAAGTTGTCAATTAGCAATTCTTTATCATGTATATATATCTGAGTTGATTCTTTTATTCTGGTAATTTAAAATAATGAACTACAGGGGTTCACAAATACACAATAATAAAACGATCAATTTATTTCATTCTACGAACAAAGTTTTCCTCATCAATGTGTATTAATCTTTGATCTTTCTCATTCAATTAGTGATAGGGATTCAATATGTTATTTCTAACGGACAACTATCAGTTGAAATCATGAGTCAATTGAAGCTAGACCACCATGGAAAACCTGGAAGCACTGGACGGCCGTCTCGTCCTAGTATGGGACTCCTCAGCAGTGCTCATCCACGATCCTGCCCTCCGCGAGATTTGAACTCAGCTGGTGGTCTAATGGTTAAGCGCTCGCGCGCGAGACTGATAGGTTATGGGTTCGAATCTCGCAGGGGGCGGGACCGTGGATGTGCACTGCTGAGGAGTCCCATACTAGGACGAGACGGCCTTTCAGTGCTTCCAGGTTTTCCATGGTGGTCTAGCTTCAACTGACTCATGATTTCGACTATTTAAATTTCTAAAATCTCCACAAAATCCCGTCGGATAACTATTAATTGATAGATAGACACTGTAATGTTTCTTTATCTTTGTTTAAATGAACCCGTGAATATTTACATTCACGTGTTTAGTTGGATTTGATGATAATACTGCACATTATATTGTATCACATTACAGCATTTTTTCCCACTCCAATTAACTATTTGAATACCCCCCCAAAAAAATTCAGAATATAGTTCTTGATAGATCATTAGGCTTTAAAGTTCATTCTTGAAGTTTTACACGATATTTTGGATCCTTTCTTAAATTAAAACCTGCCTGTATGATTGTTTGACATGACATCAAACCCAACTGATAGGTTATACATGAAATTTATCCATATGTATAGTATGTTTCTTTTATTATGAGTTACACTGTAACGCTGCAAAAATTGAATAATAATTATGAACATTATTACTACTAATATTTTGTTAAAACCACGTCCTCTTTTTCATGTTTCTTACAGTAATTTTTCTGCGTCGTTTTATGCGTGAACGCACTGCACGGTATTTGGAACAATCTACCAGTTTGTCGTGTATGTCTCGATTAAAAGATCAATTGTCATTTGCTGTGACCACTTGTCGTTTTCTTGTTAAATTGGCTAAGTGTATACTAAACAAAAATAGTAGTTATAGTAATGATACTACTACTTCTACCTCTGACTCAACATCATTTTCTCATGGTTGTCTTTCTGATTTACCAGAATATTTGGTTGATAATGTCGTGGAACTTGTTAGTTATTTAAGACGTGGCAAAGATGAATTTCTTGAGGTTAGTATTTTTTTGTTTTTTCATAGTTTTCTGTATTGATATTTTTCATTTGTCGTCTTCTCTCTTCTTCGAAACATTGCTCGTATATCCTGGGACCATTGGGTAAGTAACGCAGTTGTTAGGAAACGGGTACTAGGTAAGGATGGCAAATTCATTGATGAAGTAGTGAAACTTCATCAGTTGCGATGGCTGGGACACGTGTTACGTATGCCCAACGACCGACTGCCTCGACATGCGGTGTTCAGTGGTATAGGAGTAGGTTGGAAGAAAGCTAGGGGCGGCCAAACCAAAACATAGCACAAGTCCATGAAGTCACTGACAAGTGGACTGAGTCATGTTGGTAGGTGTAGAATACCTGGTCGGGGACCGCGAGATGATAGCAACCGATGGTTAGAGATCCTGAATGACATTGCTGAAAATCGTTTGCAATGGCGCAGGTGCATCCACTCTTTGTGTTTACCCAAATTCTAATATTCTAAGTTCTTCGTATCCTTTTTTTTCTCTTCCCAAATTTATTTCACTGGATTATACTCTTTAAATAACATCCTCAAACCCTAATGTTTCCGATTACTGCTTATACTCTTACTACCTCTACCACTACGGGATTTAAATGGACAACTGCATCTGTGTGCTAATGTGGTATGGCAACTTGAACTGATGTACGTACTTACGAAGTTCTACGTTGTTACTGACTGACTCTCTCTCATCAGAGTTTATGTTTTAATTTATAAAAGTTTAATTTAACCCCAAAATAAATACCTGGTTTGTATTCACTTGAAAACAATGCTCTTCAATAAGAGGAAATTACAAACCCGAACTAATTACTTTCATACACCTTGAACAAGCTAGTACTTATCTATACTCAATAACCCAGTGGATAAAGCGTTTGCTGTTTTAAGCTAGTCTTTGTGTGAACATCAATTCTAGGATACATGTACATTCACTTGACGGGATCTGAATAAGATAAAAATGACTTTTAGGTTCCACTCCTAGTTACACACCAAAAACTTCCCATAAAAAGGCTATGCTTGATCGGCTTCTAATAGTTGTCCTTTGGGCTTTGCGGTCACACTCCAAGGTCATTAAGACCGCCACTAACCCAGGCTTGTTTTTAGGTTCCTGAAGAAGAAATATGCTTCCACTATGTGGACAGTTATGTAGTGGCAGTCATCCTAATATTTCTAACAGCACCTTTGTTCACTGAGATATTAATCAGATATAAGCGATCGATCATTTTCCAAATTTCTTGTGTAATGAAGTAATTACTATTAATAAAATTTACTTCCTACTGTCTATGTCTTAAATTATAATGAATAAGAGGAGCAGTAACTCTTTATTACATTTAGTACAAGCCAGCGGCTCAATTGCGTTCAATGTTCTGAATTACTAATATTTTCTGTTAACTATGCTGTTTGTGACTATCAGTGTAAAATAGTGATTAGGCCCCCAAATGCTTTGGTACGACCGAGAGTGGGGAGGATCCACTCTCCCTCTCGAAATACTCTCACGTGGCCACGCGTATATATCCTCTATCAGGGTAGTCCTACTCACTGCCTTCTCGTTGCATTACTGTTGTTTACGAAAACCACTGGTGCACATGGGCTCCAGTATCCTAGAGCAACAAATGGCGTATGAACCAATCGTTGGTCACCGGCTACCATGGGACTACATCTCCTTACGTTACTCCACTGCTTTGTGGATCAGACCTTTAGGTTGAAGGCTCGGGGTGTGGCCCTCTAAAAAAACCACCTGCCTCGGTCTGGGTACTTGGGCAGTATCCCAGCCCTCACACAAATCAAATGAGATTTGTGTGGCGCATATGTATTTGGTGCCTCCTTGTACCAATATCTATGCAGTAGAATAAAATAATAAATAGTGATTAGACAGGTGCATCCCTTCACGTTCTTTGTTATTCATTTTAAGGATAAATTTTCTACTGAAAACCAGTCACTTTATAAAATCACTGGATTACACTGTTCCACACTACACATTCTCTCTGTAAAATGCAATGGAGAGGGACAGTTTGTAGAAATTTTCTTTGTCTGTCTGTTTACATTAAACCAATTTTTATATGGGATTACATATATTCATGTGTGCATATCACAGATTAGATTGTTACCACACAATTAATACATACTGAACGATATTTAGTGTATATTGAAATTAAATACGTATATTGAAAATCAATGGCCCATGTAACACATACCTATATCTTTGTTTTACTACTTATGAATATTGACAACTGTATTAAGTAATAAATAACTATTTTGTAGACTTTTTCATAAACTGAACTATATAAGAATTGTTGTATAATATGGCCTGTATTGTATATATCAAGCATACACCGCACGATCCGATATGTGGTTAGATTCATAACTACTAATATTAATTAACGATAATCGATAGAAATTATTCATTGTGCTTATTTATTTATTTTATTGACGTATCACAGTAAAATTCTATACTAATTATTGAAGGTTTTCTTTTAGCCAAGAGTACATGAACTGTCACTGATTATTATTTTCACTGTAAAGGGTTTGTAGTAATTGTTGCATTTCATAGTTAACATCACACACTGATCTTAGACAATTTTTGAAAACCAATAACGACTGAACAGCTGTTTTGTCTTTGTATGGGACTCCAGCATTGTGCATCCACGAACCTATCGAGAATTAAAGCTCGAACTTCTAGAATTTATGGCGATCAGTTAACAATTAGAACTTTATCAAGGCTTTATCACGGCACTGCACTAGAACTCCTGGACTTATCTTTAGAAACTAGTCACTAGTGAACACGTGTTTGTTATTTGTATAGGAGGTTTGTGCAAATTGTTGGATTTCATAGCATACATCACAAGCGATTGGACACTTCATATACCGGGAGTTTTCAATAATTTAATTTCTTTAGTGTTAGAAATAATTTTTGTCGTAAAACAACGACTTAATCCATTGGTATAATAAATGGATAGTGTATATACTTAACAAATCAGTTATTGTCGAACGACCAAAAAAATTATATATGATATAGTTGCATCAAGATTGTAATATCAACTTCACAATAAAAATGAAATGGCTTATTAAAGTTGGATTAGTAGCTAGCAATAAAATGTGGTACTCGTTAACTGGATATGCCATGGTCCTACTGTTAATATTCCTGTTAATACTCAAATCAGTAACTTTCATTTCAACCACGAACGCATTTCTACTAAGTCAACATAAGTACTAACTCGTACATTCAACTAATGAGTTCTGAATAAGACGAAATGCACGTCTTGAATTTCACTATTAGTGACTGTCCAGTTTAAGTGAAAACTTGTTACTAAATAGCAATATCGATGCAACCCATTCGAGATTTATATATCCCAACAGAGAGTGTTCAATCGCAAAACTTAACATCAACACTGACAAAATTCAAATCTCTACGAATAGAAATCACTTTATTCCACACAATAGGATCCAATTGAGAGTTCGGTCGACAAAACCCAAAATATTAATAGATATGTTGTTTTAATTACACAGTTCTCAGTTCATTTGTATTTCATTGTTGATCAACAACAGATAAAAAGAATTATACTATTCATTAAGATAAATTCGCCTAAGATTTTTATAGATTCATTATTTATTTATTTATTTAAACACATAAACATTGGTACCAGGGTCACCAAATGCATACGCGCCACATAATAATAAGGCCAGTAGTAGTTATCACTAATTTGTATGAGGGTTCTGATATTACCCGGGTACTCAAACCGTAGCAGGCTTTCTTAGGTGGCCACACCCTGAGCCTTCAACCTAAAGGTCTAATCCACAAAGCAGTGGAGCATCGTTAGGAGATTCAGACCCATGGTAGCTGGTGACCAATAATTGGTTCATACTCTATTTGTTCCCTCAGGATCCTGGAGCCCATGTACACCATCGGTTTGGAATCAAGGTTTTCAAAATTCCTTAGGTAAACTCTCCGTGTCCACCAACCCGGTTAGAGCGCCGGACATTCGCTTTTCGTCTTCTCAATTTCGTAAACAACAGTAATGCAACGAGAAGGTAGTGAGTAGGAATTCCGTGGCAGTAGCTGCATACGCATGGCCATGTGAGAGCATTTCGAGAGGGAGAGTGAACTTTTCCCACCCTCAGTCGTTTTATTGGTGGCAATATGTTCTTTTAGAAGTTTGTAATTTCTTAATTTAGTCTTCAAAAACATTGGTCGTTAATAAAAATAAATCTAAAATTCGAAGAAGTATTGCAATATTGTATGAGTAGTTTAACGTTTCTTTTAAATTGGATATAATTTTTAAGATGATAATTGCGATTAATAAATGGGAAAAGTACAATTATTGTTCTCAACGCCGTTATCATATCTTCTTTACTATATTTACCTTTGAAATTCTTCTACGTTCTTCTCTTTCTCTCTCTCTCTCTCGATTAGTCTGTTGAAGTGTCGTCAATTCCATTGGAACCATTGTTAGAATTCAGTATAATATTTATGAATCATACAGGATTATTAACTAATCCACACTTAAGAGCTCGTCTTGCTGAAGTTCTTGAATCATTAGTACCACAACGTGATGATGAAGCTTGGAATACAAATACTAGTGGTTCTGGTTTATTGAATTCATTGCATTTGTCTTTGTAAGTTTAAATTTTCTTTTCGTTTGAAGGGATTGTTTTTCTTTTTGCTATCTTTCTCAGTTTTCACCATTTTTATTTCACTGTTGGTATAATTAGCCGCTTTTTAATGATAAATATACTAGAATATAGGGTGTATATTCCATGTAGGTACAACGTTTTAGTATAATATGACCAATTACACTTCATTGTTGACACATACACTTGCGAAGATTAAATTTTTGTGAGATATAACTTATTGCATTTGTGAAAAGCTGTATTATGAGTGAATTCCTCCGTATTTATAATATATAATTGACCTTTAAACGATTCAAGGAAGGATAACGTATAAAAAGTGGGCAGGCGTTGTAAATTTCAGGTTTATTCTGGAATTTCGAAGAGCGAAATTCGTGTAGTAAAACTAGTACTTATCTCCACATAGTTTCGTGGTAACTAAATATTTGATATTTTGTTGTGATTTTCATATTTATTTTGCTATAATGGTGGTTGTATTTGATACAAACTGTGTTTACCGAAATCAAATTCATCCTTAAGGAAACATACTGTTTATGTGACTAACCAATCACATATTGATATGTAACTTTTCATATTTACGTCATGATGGTGGTGTCTCTATACTTCTGTCGCATAGACTTATAAGAGTTTTGTCATTTACCCAGATGTACAATACATAAATTTTTAGTTTACTTCGTGCAATTGTGAAATATAAAGTGATAAAACTCTGTCAACTGTTCACAGTTTAGTGTGTACATCGTACTTGATACATGGGCTTCAAAATTGCAACTTTTTTATATATTCAAACTGAGATTTATAAGCAAGAAGGGGGCCAAGATGCAACTTATTGGTTGAAGTTCAGTGCTTAATTCATAGAGCGCCATGAAGCATGCACATATTATATCTGTCTTTGTGTTGTCGCTTTGAACATCTTTCTAACCGAAATTGTCTTCAAAATTGTGAATCCAACTTCAGCAAAATCCATCTTACTCAAGCAATAAATGTTTGATATCATCACATCGGGTACTATTCATTGAACGATTGGTGTAAAATTCATGATTGTTGAGCATTGGATTACGTGAGAAATTTGTTGCACACGATGGATTTTATTTCGTACGCTTCACTACTCTTGTAAAATTCATTCTTAGTTGTTCATTTCTTCCCAGTCGAAATAAATATTTTATATCAAGATATAAGATTGTTGGATTACGAACCAAAAAATTATTCTAGGTTCAAAACAATGTTTTTATGCAAAAACATTATAGAGTTTTGTGTGTGTGTTGTCGATTGGTGCTGTATATTTGAGTTGTTTTTTTAGAACTTTTTCTGTGTAGCACATCATAGTTCACTGCGTTTGGATATATGTATGTATAATGAAAATCCTGATTGACAATTCAAACCAGCGAAGTTTTATCTACGATAGTTCCTTTCTCTGGATCTATACAGTTTAAATAATTATTTTCATTAAGATTAGAATAGTTAATGTAAAACATTTCAGCCTTTAAGCATCAAAAAACAGCTGGAACAAATTTAAGTGCATATTTACTGTGAAATAATTTATGTTGATATATGAGATGAGTCTTCTAAACGAATCTGTTTCTGAATCATGAAACCTAAGCTTGGGGTTCAAGAATCAAATGTTGAAGGTTGATTTCTGTTTAACAGATTTAAGATTATTACCTGCGATACGATTTCGCCTTAAGTACATGTTATATTTGAGTAATTTAACTAATTATTTCCTCTCTGTTTTACTTTTTTTCGTCTTAGCCATAGACGTGAACAACTTATGAATCGAGATTCAGAAATCACAGATGATCCTGTATTGAGTAATGCTGTCAGAGCATTGCTTACAGCATTTGTCTCTATAGAATTATCACCTGGTACTGGAGTTGTTGGCAGCGCTGGTAGTGCAGCTGATGCGGTGATAGCTGCTTCTTCATCATCTACATCACAAAATTCTTCACGCCAACCTGATTCTCACTTAAACAGTAGTGATAGTCAAACAGATACCGGTAATAATAGTAGTAGCAGTGGTGGCAATACTGCAACGGACACTCAAACTGCTGCTGTTGGGTTTGAAGAAAAATTTCATTATCGACGCCCAATGTATGCTTGTTTAAGATATTGGTACGGTAAACCATTATATGATGTACAGTTTAAGGTAAGAACGAATGAAAGTTTCGAAGTATTAGAAAGTGATGTACACAGATATTTTGTTTGAGGTTTATTCATAATGTTTTCAATGTTCAACAGGTGTGTTATATTCGGCATTTTCGGGAAGTTACCGCTAAGTTCTATAAATCAGTACTGCATATCACGGTTTAGTTTTCATGCCATTTATCTGGAGTTATCCACAATTCACTTCTATAAGCACGTCAGCGTAGCATGGACCAACAAGTTGGATGACAAACAAGAATATAGTGAAATTTAGTGTTTGAAATGAAATGTCTAGGAAAAATTACAGTAATTATACGTTAAATGAACTGAAAGATAACTGATATTGTTGAATAGAGCATTGTGATTGAATATTTAAAGCGTTGCAGACAACCTCTGGCGGTTATTTTAAATTTTACTTGACAAAATAATCAATTAGATTTGCTATTTCTGGTGCATTTTCTTCATATCAGAATCACCAGTCGATAAATTTTAACTGATTCGATAACTAATTGATATGTTATATTAAGGTAACTTCGTTAGCTAATGGAAATAAATCATATCTTTTTGTGACAACTCACACCGTTCTCTTTTCAAAAAAAGGAGAAATACTCATGTGATAACACTTTTGATCATTTAGTTTGACTCATGTATATTCTGACTCTTCAGAATTTTAATCAACCGTACTGTGTAAATCTTAGGCAATATGATGATGTACTGTGGTTTCTTGGCTTCTTATAAAAGTATGTTTATACTCTTGAACTGATAATTCACATTGGACCATATCATGACTGTATCTTTCTTTTTGTAATCATTTTTTTTTCATTTCTGTTATCTACATTTCTTGGTTAAAAGGAAATAATTATAATAGCTCAAATACATGCGATTACATTTCTTTTATTTACACTGTCTTAAAATTACGGGAAACTGGCACTTGCTACACGGTACTGTAATTTCCATAACACAATGCTAGAGGACAAATACAATAGATGAGAATTGATTATACACCGAAAATATATCAAAACAATATCTGACTACACTGATATTTTTGTTTGATTTACACTGGTTATTAGTCAGATTTTAAGTACATTTATCTGAGTATCCCTTAGCATTAATTAATCAATTACTTACTGTACAAACAAACAGAGATTTACAATATTACATAATTGAACTGCTGTAGCTAACAAATATAATTAATCTACCTCGTTATGAAATTACTCCTTAATATGTGATTACATGTTATGGATGATTAAAGAAAATTAATTTCATAAATCATTTACACTCTAATCAATATCCAGATTTTGCTTCCAGTCATATCACGTTGCAAGTTCTTGAATGTAGAATGTTGTAAATCATTTAAATCACTTTATTTTGTTAATTTAAAAGTAGATTATTTTGTAATGATCTTGAAATAAGATGCTTGACAATGTTGTAAAATTTTATTACCTATAGACGTTGGTTTTATTAATCGTCAACATACCTGAACTATCTATCACTGATATTATGAAATTAATACAACTTTTTTTAAAAAAAAGATTTCACATAACTACTGTAAAATAAATTCTGGAATGTGTTATCATTAAATTTAAAAGAAACATTTGTTTACAATAGCGTTTCTAACATATAAACAGTGTCATACTATGTAAAATTTTAGCATATTACATCGGGAATAATATACCGATTGTTTGTTGGATGCCGGCTCAATGGTCTAATGGTTGAACACTCGCGCGTGAGACTGATAGGTTCTGTGTTCGAACCTCGCGGGGGGCGGGACCGTGGATGCGCACTACTGAGGAGTCCCATACTAGGCCGAAACGGCTGTCCAGTGCTTCCAGGTTTTCCTTGGTGGTCTAGCTTCAATTGACTCATGATTTCAACTATTGAAATTACTAAAATCTCCACGAAACCACTTCTGATATTAATATTATTTCTATATTTTTCTTTTCTCAATTAGTAAAGTTAATGACTCTTTTTATAACTCATCTTGAATTGTTTAATCTTCATACAAGTTAGATTGTTTGTGTAGTTGATTTTTAGTACAGACTATGATCACCTTAAAAAAACAGGAAATACTGATAAGTTGTTTTTCTTTTGTTTGAGAATCCTTAGTAATCCACTTCCATGAAGCGACACAGAATGACACTCCGGGTCTTTAAGTCCAAAATTTAACAAAATTGAATTTAAATATTAGGCCTCAATCTAGTGAACGGCGTTCCTCACTTCAATCAATTGTCAGTATTTTACGACGATTATTCAGTGCTAACCTTGATATCTGCCTCATTCTTGATATGGTTGAACACTCCAACAATAATTTGAACGTTAGGATTTTGTGAAAAAGTTTTCCATTACCTTCTATGCTTAAGGTTCCTGGGCTAAATTGTTTAGAAACAGCATATATACATCATAATAATGTCATTAATTGTTTGATTTGATCTTATGTAGCTGGAATCCTGATGCTATGCTTTCAGCAGTATATTCATTTTTTTCTCCAAATCCCTTATTTTGTTTTTCATTTATTCCATCCATATTTGCCCACTTTTATTCATATTTTTGGTTGATGGGTTTATCATTTATTGACTTTTTGTTTGTGAGCTATATAAAAACGTTAACTAATTCAAGTTTTTACTTGAAGCTGTACTTGATCGTTTTTGCTTATCTGGTTTAAATTAGGTTGTTTTCGTTGCACTTTTCTAATGACTGTTAGCTTTATTAATGCTTTTTTAATTAAAAAATCTATCATCTTGTGTTTCTTTAGTGTTTTTCATTTACTACATAGTTCTCTAATAATGTATCTATCTTAAAACAGTTTCACTGAGTGTATTGATACGTCGATCCCAAGTCCTTAGTAATTTTCTACTCTTGAACCATCAAAAGAAATATTGTTGTTTATGCAAGAGACTTTATTTCGAAGCTTCATCTATTTATAAAATTGTACGGCCTTGTGATTGGAAGCTTCCAGAAAACTTGCTAAAATTTGTAGCAAGTTCGTTAATTGTTCAATTAGGATACTGAATCCAGTCATTTTCTAAATTTATTTTAGAATTTTTTAAATGACTGATTAGTCGATTCTTTTCAATATTCGTCTGTATTCTAACGATTTATTTTCCTTGGAATTATCAGGTGACGTGTAATAATTTCTCAAAGAAATAAGTAGATCCGTTTTTAATATTTGTTCAATAAACTGTGATCATTTTATGACCACTGTGAGTTGTTTTCTTCTTACGCCGTAATATCTATTTGAATTGATCTTCTCTTTCAAAATTACTGTATTTCACTCTACAGAGGGTATCGTCCGTTACACGGAGAACAAATTTTTTACGTACGATTTATTCACGTAGATATTATTATAGTTCTTAAGTTTCCTAAAACTGTATGCAGCTGATTGCAATAAATTCACATGTTATTATCCATTAGTTTAATATCTCTCTATCTAACCATTTGTACATTTTTTTTTCTAAAATATCAAGCGTTTAGAAAATGAAGCTTTAGCGCATATCGATGATGTGAATCCTCCATTATTTCTACAATTTTTATCACTTTTGGTGAATGATGCTATCTTTTTGTTAGATGAAGCCCTTAGTTTATTAGCTCAACTTAAACAAACTGAACGTGAAAGAGACAAATGTGGTGGGAGGTAAGCTTTTTTCATTAATACATATGAATTATATCATATAAGCCAATATTAAATTCATGAGATTATTATCCATTATGCGTCTGTGATATGATGTGATGTGTGAATCGCAACATACCCTTAATCATACCATCTGGCCTAGTCTGATAACAAACCGTTACCCAATGTGGATATTTTTAATAGGTCCTTAATCGGTTGTATCAATGTCGTAATTAACTGGCCCTTGTTGCGATTTGTCATTGTTTGTGCTGGTAATCGGTGGCACTCTACTCAGCCTATTGCTGCCAGCCAATAATTATGTTCAATAATCCAAGGTCTAATCACGAGCTGTAGAACTTTCCAGTTACTGCTGCAGGAGTTGAACCCTGCTCCTTTGAATCGTCGTGCTGCATAGTCACTCTGTGCCTAAAGGATTTGGGCGAAATCATTGACCAGTTGGCATTTCTAAAAAAATTGTTTGTATCTTTAGATTCCATAGTATGATCTTTGTGGCAAGTCGTGGCAGATGGAGTTCATACATGTCATTAGTGAAACAATAATCAGCAATTGAACCGAATGATCCAGTTTTTTTCCAAAAGTTCATTGGACTTGGGATCATACCATTTGACTCTGACTCAGTGGTCCTACTGGTCAAGCGTTCACTCCGAAACTCGATGATCCCGGGTTCAATCTCCGTTGGTATCTAGGGTGTGCACTGTTCGTATGTCACATACTAGGACAAAACAGGTGCCCGATGCTCCCTGGTTTTCAGTTATACTCTAATTGACATTAATCTATGATAAGTAAAACCTGCATGTTCAGTATATTTGTATATTTATACTTAACTTCATTTTTTGTTATATTAGATTATCCTCTTCTTCAGACGAAGCATTATTTGCACATACAGGTCGTTTAGCACGACATCATATTATGCTTGGATTAGATACCATTGCTACATTACGTCGAGTGATCACTTTATGTTCACAATTAATTACACATCCAATATTGGTTGATCGAGTTGCTTGTATGCTAAATTATTTCTTGACAAGACTTGTAAGTTAAACTCATGATGATGATTTTTTTTTATTTCTCATTCATGTTTTTTTTTCTATTTCTAACTGACCACATTTATTGGGTAAATATATAAACAAAATTATGCTTTTTATAATTCGTAAAACTGGCCACAGAATATATGGAATATGCCTTTTTTTGTCGTGGTGCCGTGAATGCACACACTGGCAATTCTTTTGTTGAGTTCAGTTATATGATTGGTTTAAGTTGAAGAAATTCAGACTATTGGATCCTTATGGTCCGTAATTCAATCTCTGATGGGACTATAAATGTACATACTCTTGAAAATACTTATATTAAAATGAAATGATTATATAGCGCTCTCTAGTTTTAAGCACCTATCCATTGATTACTATTTATTGATAGGATCATATGAGTAGCACATTAGTTAATATTTAATCAAGTATCATGTTTACATATTTATGCCTGACAGAGTTGTTATAGCGATTTTCAGGTACCTATTGCATAAAGCTTATATATATATACAAGTGTTGGACTATTTGTTTTTGTACTTTTTTGATTTTGCAATTTAATGAATTGTATTTATTCATTGTCAAATTATTAGATACGAATTCTAAATTTATTATTTCTTTGTCTCCAATAAAAATTCTTAATGTAAAACTATTTAAGTTCTAATAAAAATATACTAATCCGATTAAGTCATGATTAAAATTTCTGCAGTTAGACTTTACAACAGTGAAAGGGGATCAGTGTAAAATACAAATAGAAAAGTAGGTATTGTATTATAGGTGTTAGACTAGCATAGTTAAACAAGAAACTGGGGCATAGGTTCAGCTCTTGACTTTCAATCATTTGGCTGCACGTTCTAACCTTGTTTCATTTAGTTCATTTTGAACAGCTGTGTAACTTTCACATTCTAAAACTGGTATGATTCAAGGCCCGCCAGTACATAAATCTATGCTTTGATCGATCAGTGAAATAGACAATTTAAATTAAGAAGCAGAAAATTATAGAATATTAAAGTGTACATTAATTTGATAATAATGTGATATAATTTATTTCTACTGTATTCATGATAGGAATAAATAATTCTTATATACACGTGTCCTGTCTGTCACGTTCGTGGTATTACTGGTTTTGTTTGACTATCAGGAGCTATTGCAATTCCCGCGTCACAAAGTAGAAAACACAAAAGACTAGTGCAATCAGAATCTATTGATTCTCTAAAAAGATGTCCCTAAACAACTACCAAAAATCATGTCGTCAATAAACTAACAGACAATCATTTATCTTCACAGACTGAACTCATGAGTCAGTTGAAGCTAGACCACCATTGAAAACCTGGAAGCACTGGACGGCCGTTTCGTCCTAGCATGGGACTCCTCAGCAGTGCGCATCCACGACCCCGCACCACCCGGGGCTCGAACCCAGCACCTACTGGCTTCGCGCGCGAGCACTTAACCATTAGACCACTGAGCCGGCATCCAACGGTGTTAATGTCTAACTTCAACCAATCCACGAAGTTGCGCTACCGTACACCATTGTCTTCAGTGAGTTCCTATCTCACAACAGACCTGGTTGAACTCCACTGGTAGCGACTTATTATTATTATTATTATTATTATTATTATTATTATTATTATTATTAGCTTTATTCAATATTATAATTTTGGTACAATATAGAATTCTCAGCGCAAGGTATTTCAACAAGTTTCCGTTTCTTTCTTCTTGGTCGGTCCTGGCGATAAATATTGAGGAATCGCCAGTTAGATGTTAGCACTTCAGTGAATGAACAACTGAATAATGTACATTCTTTTCGTTGTACATTGCCAGCAACCATATTGTCTCTTATTGAGTTTTCTGTAACTTTGACAACGAAAGGTTGTACACTTTTCAGAAACGTAGCAGAATAGGTTATGCGATTAATAAACATAATGATATATTAAAACAAACAACAATAGATAACTTGTTGAAATATCTAGATGGCAGGAACAGGTAGCCCAGATGCTCAAGCAGGCCGCCCTTCTCACTAGAACTCCAGAAGTGTCTCCTGAAGTCAGTCACTAGTGAGCATGTGATTATTATTATTATCAGAATGTGTTTTGTGGAGATTTTATCTACTAATTTTTACTCAGAATTATATCACATATAGGGAACAGTGCAGAATTAGTGTAAAAACACATTGAATATTGTTCACCTAAATCAGTACGGGGAAAATAAGTTTCCGAGTGAACGAAAATTCACACTTGTCATATTGAGCAAAGTTTACATTAAATTGATATGAGAAATGTAAACACTAAAACGTCACACTGAATAAAGTTCACACCTGTCACCCTGGCAGAAATTCATAATGAATCGATACCAAAAATATTGACCTAAGTAATGTCATTTTTTCACTCCGTCATATCTGTAATTTTTATAGTTTTTTAAATACACATTTTTAACAATTCAGCTGTACAAGTAGAGAATTCTTTCGGTTATTAACAACATATTGTTAGATTTTTCTGTTAGTTTTCTGAAACAGTAATACTCGACAATTGTGTTTAATGGATGGAGAGTGAACTACACAACTTTATCGACAGAACCAGTAGACTGACAGATATTAAAGGTAGTTTGAACCTCCCTCCAGCTATTTCGGTTTAGATAACCGAATGGCATCATTAGTTCTCACACTTAAATTGTGTCTTGAAGTTGATTATTCTAATATGTACCTGATTAATGAATTGAATAAATAGGTTGTGAGAGAGTAGCATTGTTGCTCAACAATTGCTCGTCATGATTGAGAGATTGAAAGAGATTTGACCATATCTTTCTTATAATTACTTGGATGTGGTATAAAAATTGAATGAGCTTTATTTGAAGAGTATTATGTATGTAATGAGAGATAATCCACTTGATAAGAATCTAATTCATTTATTATACTGATCTTTGCTGTACCATATTCTCACTTCGGTTCTCTAATTTTTACCTTTCGTTTTTTTCCTTTTAAGCCCCTATCTTGTTTGTATTTTGTAAGGGAGTTTAGATTGATGTATTTTGTTGTTGTTATTGTTCCCCTGTTACAAGTTATCTTTAACACGTGCAAATGTACTGTTCATGGTTTCTAGTCTTTGATACAACATAAATTTAAAACTAGAAAATTCGATTGAGTTTAAAGTCAACATATTAATTATTTACTACAATGATAATAGAATAATCCTAGTTCACTTCTGTTTTGTTTTAGTTGTAATATCAGTTTTGAAATAAATGCAATTATCATAAACAGATATATCTGCCTACAATGTATACATTTATATCTTAGGTTATAGTCTTATTTGTTTAATTCATCAATTCTCTTTTCTAAACTTGTAACGACTTGTTTTCTAGCTTTACTCTAATGCTTATTAATAACATATAAAATCAGTGCAAACATATAGATGAATCAGTTGTTGAAGTCTTAAACTATCATCCAGTTGATAAATAACTTGTCTGATGATTACGTTGTAATAATTTGATACTTATAGATGAACAATCATTCCTTTCAATATTATTTTAGTAAATAAATATATAAATGTATATTCTTTCATTTCATATAATAGGTAGGACCAAAACAACGTGATTTAAATGTACGTGATAAAGCTGCTTATGGTTTTAAACCAGATTTAATGGTACTAGAAATTTCTGCAATATACCAAATATTAGCTCGTGGATCTGATTCAGCAGTTGAAACAGATACTGAAACAATCGGTAAATTAATTATTGATTTTATTTAATTGGGGTGTTTATAGACAAGTATAATTGTCTGCTATCCTCTCTCATCCAAGATTATTATTCTTACTGAAACTATTTCGATATTTGTTTTACCTATCCCTAATCAAATATCTCAATTTCTGCTCCATGTTTACATGTGTCCACACATATTATAGACTGGTAAAATTAATAGGATGTAATATAATAGCCTATGTGATGTCATAGTCTACATTAAATGATTATTTTTGTTTTCTCCTACATAAATAAGCTTAAATGTATAATATATCTTCCAAACTACTATTTTTAGTCTCTTATAAAATTACACTATTTGACTTTCTTCTGTATACCTGATTAAGGTGACTACTCTATTCAAAATGGTAAAAACAAATGGTTTTGAAAACTATCTGACTTGTTCAGCGATTTACAGAACTCAATAAGTATTAATTCGTTATCCATCCTGTTAATACATTGAATTTTGTTAAATTAGTATTATATTAAGCTACGTTCTTATAATACAGTTGGATAAAACTATGAAACTTTAGATATGATACTACTCAAATGGATTTCTTTTAAATTAATCTTTTTATATGATCATCGTCTCTTTTCGGTTTTGAATTATGTTAAAGGAAGCAAAGGCTTTTTTCACTAATGGCTGTTAACTATGGGATAAATTTATTAAGAATATATTAGTTCTTACTTACAATTTTCCATTTTATCAAAGTCATCCTTTTCCAAATTTGGTCAGTATAATTAATAGATAAAAATTGATGTGCAAAACTATGGTGTATTTTAGGTAAGATATATTTCAAATAATTCAATGAAATATCTAAGATGGTGGGACGGCTTTAACTATGAGAACTTTAGTTTACTCCTGTAATTTTCATGTTCGTAATCGAAAATTGTCTTGATAAGTAAAGATGTCATTAGATTATTCACAACTAGATTTAATTGAAGGGCTTTTGTGGTAAATGGTTTAATTTGTGTGTTACACTGATCACAAATTGACTTTAAGACGTTCCTGAAGTTCTAGTGGAAATTTGTGGACAGTGCAGTTTAGAAATAACGAGAGTGAAACAGTTGTTACCTATGACATTGTATGACTCCTGCTCTGTATTACAAACTGACGAATGCTGGAAGTATACGATTGGATGTCAACCTAGTGATTCCATTGGTTAGGCTTCCGCCACCATACCCGAAGGTCCTCTCTTTTATCCATTATGGAACATAGATCCTCATGCAGAGTCCCTATTTGGAGCGAAATGGCTGTCGAGTGCTTCCTTGTCTTCAATGGTACACTTATTAAGATCAATCTATGATAAATACAACTTAGATGCTCATTTGTTTTTCCGATCAACGTTTTATGGTACTAAATTCTATTTTCTCTAGAATATTGCTTTGGGTTTTTTTGCTCTTTGATAAATTATCTTTAAATACTTCCTCAGCATCATCTTCGCTACCATCATCATCGGAATCATTTCGTCGAGCTGTTGTTAGTGACGAAAGATCATTTACACCAGATTTGTTGGACCAAGCTTGTCGTGTATTAGATCGAATCGCTGCACCAATAGATTTATGTAATAAATTCGCTGAAGCTGTTCGTCTAATTAAAGTATGTATATGATTTATTTTTTACTTATAATTCCGTTCGTATATGTATTGTCGATAAACCATAAGTTTGTTTTAGTGGTTTATCTGTCAGTATGACTAGAAGAATTAAAATCCACTTATTTTGTATTTATGGGCTCCAGTATCCTGAAGGAACAAATGGCGTATGAACCTATTGTTGGTCACCGGCTACCATGAGACAGCATCTCCTGACGTTGCTCCACTGCCTTGTGGATCAGACCTTTAGGTAGAAGGCTCCGGATGTGGCCTCCTAAAAAAACCACTGTTATAACGTGAAAAATAAATGCTCCTGGTTAAGGGATAGCGAATTATTGATCGGACTAAAGACGCGCAAACACGTAGAACGACCTAGGGTTCTGATTGGTCTCGCTTCCCTGTATAGCCCAGCCAATTGAGTCCAGAACACAAGTTTCAGCCTCGGATATATGGATCATTATATTTCAAACATACCTTGTTTATATACCAAGCAAACAAACCACATCGTACCACAAAGTAGAAAATAACATTGTACAATATTGGCCAACAGGAAAATAACACGTTAAATAAATATCGACCAATGGGAAATGTACATTTAAGGTCCAAGGACACCATTGGACTTAACATGATAATTATTGGTCTATTTTTCCGACTACCTAACACCTCCCCCTCTTTTTTTTTAAAAAAAAGAAGATCCGGAGTTAATATCTGGATTTTTTTCGCGTCTATCCTCCCCCTCGAAATAATGTTGGGTCTTCATAAATCCAAATTACAATTAATTTGATTGTCTTTAAAACATATTGCACAGGGAATGCAGTAAAATCGATCAGATATTGAGGATAAACGCCATCCAATTCGAAGTCATCAGGGTTTAAATCTTTAGTAAGTAGTGGATCATTATGATAATCGGCGTCCAACAAAACTGTACCAGGTTCTTGGTTATTATTTGATGCGTGGAACACATTTTCTGGTAAAAGAGAATCTTGATAATAAGATTTGTCAAAAACATCTGTCGCAGACTGATGAGAACCATTTGAAGCAGTTGTATTCAGTGTGCTGCTCGATTTGTTTTCTGTTTCATGGGTGGTTATTGCGACAATTCTATGACCATTAACCGGGGAGTGTGTTTGTGAGCTGGATAAGTCACCGTCTGCACATGCTGTTTTGGGGATAATGGAGTTTGAGTCCATTACCGGGCATGTTACTGAAATGGAAAGTTCTGGACCACTGGGCGCATCATGGATGACTGCCGTTCCGTTTGAAGTACAGTTAATCGAGGATTCATGGTGGCTGCTGTCATTTTCCAGCTCACTGTGTAATTCAGATATCAATCCATCCACTTCCGTCGCATCTTCATAGCATGATTGATTTAGCAGCTGCGTGCGGAACTTGACTAATAACTCCAAATGTCGTTCAAAGAGCAGCTGCAATCGATCGAAAGGGAGTGTCATTTTTTTGGATCAGCACCAGCAATGAAGATTACTGTATGAATAATGACCAATGTGGTTCAAGGACACTGATGACAATCTGGATACTGATTAGTTGAATAATTAGACTGGATTTCGTCCAATTACAGAATGATTTTGGATTGTATCTTTTCTTCACCCTGTAATTGGACGAAATCCAGTCTAATTATTCAACTAATCAGTATCCAGATTGTCATCAGTGTCCTTGAACCACATTGGTCATTATTCATACAGTAATCTTCATTGCTGGTGCTGATCCAAAAAAATGACACTCCTTTCCGATCGATTGCAGCTGCTCTTTGAACGACATTTGGAGTTATTAGTCAAGTTCCGCACGCAGCTGCTAAATCAATCATGCTATGAAGATGCGACGGAAGTGGATGGATTGATATCTGAATTACACAGTGAGCTGGAAAATGACAGCAGCCACCATGAATCCTCGATTAACTGTACTTCAAACGGAACGGCAGTCATCCATGATGCGCCCAGTGGTCCAGAACTTTCCATTTCAGTAACATGCCCGGTAATGGACTCAAACTCCATTATCCCCAAAACAGCATGTGCAGACGGTGACTTATCCAGCTCACAAACACACTCCCCGGTTAATGGTCATAGAATTGTCGCAATAACCACCCATGAAACAGAAAACAAATCGAGCAGCACACTGAATACAACTGCTTCAAATGGTTCTCATCAGTCTGCGACAGATGTTTTTGACAAATCTTATTATCAAGATTCTCTTTTACCAGAAAATGTGTTCCACGCATCAAATAATAACCAAGAACCTGGTACAGTTTTGTTGGACGCCGATTATCATAATGATCCACTACTTACTAAAGATTTAAACCCTGATGACTTCGAATTGGATGGCGTTTATCCTCAATATCTGATCGATTTTACTGCATTCCCTGTGCAATATGTTTTAAAGACAATCAAATTAATTGTAATTTGGATTTATGAAGACCCAACATTATTTCGAGGGGGAGGATAGACGCGAAAAAAATCCAGATATTAACTCCGGATCTTCTTTTTTTTTAAAAAAAAGAGGGGGAGGTGTTAGGTAGTCGGAAAAATAGACCAATAATTATCATGTTAAGTCCAATGGTGTCCTTGGACCTTAAATGTACATTTCCCATTGGTCGATATTTATTTAACGTGTTATTTTCCTGTTGGCCAATATTGTACAATGTTATTTTCTACTTTGTGGTACGATGTGGTTTGTTTGCTTGGTATATAAACAAGGTATGTTTGAAATATAATGATCCATATATCCGAGGCTGAAACTTGTGTTCTGGACTCAATTGGCTGGGCTATACAGGGAAGCGAGACCAATCAGAACCCTAGGTCGTTCTACGTGTTTGCGCGTCTTTAGTCCGATCAATAATTCGCTATCCCTTAACCAGGAGCATTTATTTTTCACGTCATAACAACCACCTGCTTCGGTTTGGGCATTCGGGCAGTATCTCAGCCCTCACACAAATCAAATGAGATTTGTGTGGCGCATATCTATTTGTTGCCTCCTTGTACCAATGTTTATTTGTTTTAATAAATAAATTAAAAATTTGACTGGCTATCTTAACGATGATGTGACCTCATCAGCACAATTTGTGTGAATGAAATGTTATGATGAATGTAATACTTTATCTTCGTTGATCCAATATTATTACTGGGTTATAACGCCATTATTTACAAGGTGCTTATTTATGACGTCAATAACAACAAAACATTTGTCAATGACTCTGTAGTTTTGTATGTTTTCCTGACTAACGTTATTACTTCATAGAAGAATAGATACTTTTCGAGATGCATCATTTTGTTATGTCCGATTAATGATCTCACGTGATGCGACCGATCATTAGAGACACCAACTTATAAGACCAGACTAATGACACATAAACCAGTATGGGCAGTCCAGAGTCAATTCTGAGTTTTTATTGGTCCATCGAGATAGTAGGTTCTCTCTAAACCCAGCCGGTCTAGTCCAGAACACTTTTATCAGCCTCCGTTACACGAATCATATATTTCAGATATACTGGGCTTATATACTAACAAACCAGACTGCATCATAACATAAAACAGAAAATACCAATTACATAAGATCAAGTCCAAAAGTGGCTGTGATTGTGATAGGCTGTTACTAATAAATTGGGAATATCTTAAGAATAGTAAATCGTATGATAACATTCAATAGGTCAATTGAAAGCTTATGATAAAAGGCCTTCCAGTGTTTCCAGGTTTCCAACAGCAGTTTAACATCAATCGGTTCATGATCTCAATCATGAAATAAATTGTTCAACAAACTGTACATTTTCTTACTCATTCACTTTATTATAACACGAATCACTTGATTTGTGTCGATTTTATTATTATTATTGATCTTGTATATTAATCTAGAACTATAATGAAAAACTTTGTTTAAAAAATGTTCTTGTTATTTTCATCTTTTCTAAATGTCCAATCGGGAACTTATGCTTCACTAAAATCTTCTAAATCAGCATTTGCGTTGAAGATTCCCAATCAGTATCTGAAATTTAGCGTAATGCTCGATAAAGCAAGAACAAATGTTAAATTTAACATCTGTTCATTTTTTTCTTTTTGTTGTATGATTAGGCTGAAAATGTAATAAAAACTAACGAAGAACTAGATGTAGATGATGCACCGGATGAATTTATTGATCCAATTATGGGTTGTTTAATGGAGGATCCTGTGAAATTGCCCACATCGGGTAAAATAGTTGATCGTAAAACTATATATCGTCATCTGTTAAAGTATGTTTCATTTAATGATATTTTATATACTTATCTTTTTGTAATCAAATATAGATATACATTTTACCAGTAACTTTTCCCATTGGATTACACTTACAAATAATCAGTGCATGCTTTACGAAATCTTTCTTTAATGATATTCTCTAACGAAAGGATATGATAAAACTAAGTATAAGAGGATGGTTTTTAATTAAATTTGAACGTTGATTGGGGTTGTGATCCAGGGCGTGGGTTTTGTCTTATATAGGACTCGTCGGTTGGATGTTGATGTTTTTACTGAACTCGAATCCGCGCTGACAAAGTACAGAGCGATGTGAACTAAAAAAATCTTGGTTGTTTTTACTGTGAGAATTTAGACGCATATGTATTGTTATGCAGTGCAATGATGCTGAATTCGGTTGTGTAAAACAACCTACTTGTTTCTCATTACTTAAAACCCAGTGTCAAATATCATGGAAATATTCGTTTTTAGAAGTTGGTTAATAGTTATCGTAAAGACCCTGAATGCTCAGAGATTGCTAACGATCGTAGTGATATTTTTACGATTTTGTAACTAGATAATGGTGGAATTTTCGCATCACTAACTGACATAATTGTTAAAAATTTGGAATTACTGGACATCTGTTTTGTTCGTATATGATGTAAGACAAATATTACTAATGTCAGTAAGCGATATTTGCGTAATATCACAAATTATCTGGAGATAAAAATACAAACTATTGGGATGCTTACGCTGTTTTAAAGGTCAAGCATTCTCTGTGAGAACTTAAGACCCTAAATTTGATCCGTAGTTTGTTCGTGAGTTCACACTACTGAGCAGTAGTCTCATACTAGGATGAAATAACTGTCCAATGTTTATTGTTCATCGTTAACGCCTTTTTTAGATGCATGTTAGACAGTAGGGTACATTTAGCAAATTAGTTCCAACTATTTTGAACTCTAAAGGAAACGAACAAAAAAAAACTCAATCGGATTAGAAAATAAGTGGTGACTTAAATTTAAGTAATCAATTAGGTTGTTAATGTGTATGAAGTGTTCGTAGAATACATATAATGTTTAATTGGAAATATTAAAATAAAGAATTATCATTGTTCTGTTTTTTTTAATACTAAATAATGGTTATGCACTACTGCAACGGTGTGCACGTCAATTAATATTTTCACAGGACGTAAAATTGTGGTTCACTTGACTATCCATCTGTAAAGCCCAGGTCTCTTTGAATCGGTCTGCCTTGTAGTTGAACAGAATGACAATTAGGAAATTGACATATTGCTTTCTATGTATGAGGACCTGTGTGTTTTGATTTTTTTGTATAATACAAAGAGCTCTAAATCAGAATTGTGTACAATTACCCAGTATTTTAACATTCGTATAGTAGAGTGAAACCAATTTTGTTACATTTTAAAATAACACAAAATGGCTTAATTTCGAAGTAGTATAGCCTAGTGTATTCTGCTTTTTGTACTTGAAATCCCAAAGAGTACTACTACATAATTGCTTTCGCTGAATAATTGTTTGGAGAAGAGTAGAGACTAGCTTGTGCTTTAACCACTAGATCGTCATTTTATCACTCCTAACCAACCTGGAAATTTTCATTAACAAACGCGACTTCGTCAAGCTTTCTATGACTTCATGAACTAATGTCATTTCGTGCTTTGGCCATTCCTAACATTCTACCAACCTAATTTTACACAAGAAAACATGTATCAAGGCGTGACAATTTAAACAGTTACAGGTATGTGCCAAGGCCTACGTTACTTAGATCTAAGTGACTGACTTAGTGTTGATTTATTTGTATCATCGAAATAATTTGTAGTATTATCTGATTTTATAGGATAAGCCTCCAAAGTCTGCTAACTTCAGTGTCATAGTTGATTTCTGTCAACCACTAAATATCTATCGTGATAATATCACATCAATTAAACTGGTACTAATTACATAGCAACTGCTCATTAATAGGGTTTGATCAACACACTAGGGACTAGACAACGTAACAGATTGTACAATCTATAATAAACTAGTGTATGTATGTAATTTTTATCAATATCAACTCTTTAAAGTTTATTTAATGGATTGATCTTAAGCACTAAAAACCAGGAAGCACTGGACAACTGTTTCATAATTTACTATTTTAACTATAATCAGTTCTCGGAATTGGGCAACCGTTGGGGGCTAACTCAGTAGGCTAAATGACTAAGCTCCTGCCACAAAACATTAATGTCTTTGGTTTGATCCTCTATGGAATAATGGATGTTCACTTCTGAAGTATTCCATCGTAGTACGAAACAGCTTTATAGTGTTTTCCAGTTTTCAATAATTGTTTAACTAAACTTAGTCTGTAATACAAATTACGAGGTTGAACAACCTCCATCAATCCCTTTATACTAAAAATATTCATTTTATTTATTTTGAATTTAGTGATTCTACTGATCCATTTAGTAGAAAACCATTAACAATGTCTCAAGTAGAACCACAAGAAAATTTACGTTCAGCTGTTCGTATGTGGATTGATGAACGTCGAGCACAAAGATTATCAAAGAATACTCAGGGTAAAGAACAACAGCCTTCTTAATTTATACATAATATATACATATTCATATGTTGGGACAACACCTTATTATTATTATTATTACTTCAATCTATAGTTTAACAAACAAACAAATAAATTAAAAACACGATTTGTTTTTGTATGCAACATACAATTTTGTGCGTATAAATTTTTATGATCTGGTCTACTTCATACTTTATTGATATTGTCCAAACTCAATCTTCCACCGCTTCCCTCTTTTTTTTCTTCTCTCATTCACTTAATTATTTTTTCTTCAGTGATATCTTTGAACTAATAACAATACAATATAGTAATAACAGTAATAATACTAATTAATATGTGAATTTGTAAAAGGTAATCAAATTGTGTATAAAAAAGTAAGAAATAACAAAAACCAAGATATGATTGTATTATGTAAGTTTGAATTTTATTTATTTATTTTAACACATAGATATTGGTACAAGGAGGCACCAAATAGATATACGCCATACAAATCTCATTTGATTTGTGTAAGGGCTGAGATACTGCCCGAATGCCCAAACCGAAGCAGGTGGTTTTCTTAGGAGGTCACACCCGGAGCCTTCAACCTGAAGGTTTGATTCACAAGGCAGTGGAGCAACGTCAGGAGATGCTGTCTCATGATAGCCGGTGACCAACAATAGGTTCATACGCCATTTGTTCCTTCAGGATCCTGGAGCCCATGTACACTATTGGTTTGGAATCAGAATTTTTCAACTTCCCTAGATGGACTCTCCGTGTGTACCAATCCGGTTAAAGCGCCGGACATTCACTTTCCGTCCTCTCAATTTCGTAAACAACAGTAATGCTACGAGAAGGCAGTGAGTAGGACATCCCTGGGAAAGGCTATATATGGGTGGCCATGTGAGAGCATTTCGAGAGGGAGAGTGGACTCTCCCCTACTCTCGGCCGTATCAGGGCATTTGGGGGGCAAGTTTGCATATATATGCATTATGCTAAGTTCATAAATTGAAATTGAAAATTTAATAAAAAGCATTTAGCAACTTTTAACTATTGGATTATATGTTTGGCGCTTAAAATGAAATACACAAATTTTTATTTAGTAATTAAATTAAATTGGTATTATTTATACTTCCTATGAAATAGTTCAATATATTTAATATACAAAAATTTAAAACTAAGTTTCTTTGGATAGTGATTATTATCATAATCTAATTTTGGTAGGTAACATTAAATAATTTCTTGTATATAAATATTTATTTATCATTAGCATTCAATCACATACATTCAACTTCAAGAATGAGCAAAATCACGTTGATGACAAACATTGAAAGCTTAATTAATCAAAGTAAATGCCTTAACAGTGATTATTGTGTAGAATGAACAAAGAAAACTCTTTCTTAACCTTAAATAATTCAACAATAAAGAAGGAACAAATTGAGCGAAGAAATTTCTTTTCAATTAGTTTTTCATCATGGCTCTACACTAATATATATACGTTTTTACAATAATAATATAATACTCATCGAGTAGATACGTTACGTAATAATTACATAATGACATTTAAAGTAACATTGATTAATTGGAAGAAAGAGGATTATTAATATTCAAAGTGATCAAGAAGTCGCTAAGTTGCGTAATGTAAGGAACAAAGAAGGAATATTAATAATCCTCTTTCTTCCAATTAATCAATGTTAATTTAAATGTCATTATGTAATTTTATTTTTATTTCAACACATAGATAATGGTACAAAGAGGCACCAAATACATGTGCGCCACACAAATCTCATTCGATATGTGTGAGGGCTATGATACTGCCCGGGTGCCCAGACCGAAGCAGGTGGTTTTCTTAAGGGGCCACTCCCCGAGCCTTTGACCTAATGGTCTGATCCACAAGGCAGTGGAGCATCGTAAGGAGATGCAGTCCCATGGAAGCCGGTGACCAGCAATTGGTTCATACTCCATTTGTTCCCGCAGGATACTGGAGCCCATGTGCACCATTGGTTTGGAATCCGGTTAGAGCGCCGGACATTCGCTTTTCGTCCTCTCATTTTCGTAAACAACACTCCCGCCACGAGAAGGCAGTGAGTAGGACTTCCCTGGCAGAGGCTATATACGCGTGGCCGTGTGAAAGCATTTCGAGAGGGTGAGCGGACTCTCCCCACTCTCCGCCGTACCAGGGCATTATGTAATTATTACGTAACGTATCTACTCGATGAGTATTATATTATTATTGTAAAAACGTATATATATTAGTGTAGAGCCATGATGAAAAAGTAATTGAAAAGAAATTTCTTCGCTCAATTCGTTCCTTCTTTATTTACCAAATGGCAAAATGGGAATTTTCACTAAATTCAACAATATATTGATTATCTTTGATAGATTTAAAACTCAATCACTAATCGATATGAACTTTTGAACGGAAAATTATTTCCATAGCATACAACCATTTTTTTTTAAAAAAATTTTTAATAATTTGTTGTATATCCACATGTATTTGAATAGTAACCAATTCGTTGACAATTTCGACTACTTAATATTAAACTGATAGCAATTCGCTTCATCATTTAACTGTCCTCCATTCATTATCAATCACGATACATAATTATCATTCTCATTAATTACACCCATACGTTAGTTCAGTATATTTATGCCTGATAAGTGATAAAACAATTTATTCTGCTGCAGTAGTGTGTGATAAATTCACCCAATATAAATTTTATTTATTTAAACACATAAACATTGATACAAAGAGGCACCAATTATATATGCTCCACACTTCGTCATTCGATTTGTGTAAGCGCTGAAATACTGCCCACGCGCCCAAACCGAAGCAGATGGTTTTCTTAAGGGACCACGCCCGGAGCCTTTGACCTGAACGTCTTATCCACAAGGCAGTGGAGCAACTTTAGCAAATGTGGCCCCATGGTAGCTAGTGACCAATAATGGGTTTATACTCCGTTTTCTCCCTCAGTATCCTGAAGGCCATGTACACCATTGGTTTGGAATCAAGGTTTTCCTATTACCTGGATTGATCCTCCATATACACCAACCCGGTTAAAACGCCGGACATTTGCTTTTCGTCCTCTCGATCTCGTAAACACCCCCAGTTCGAGAAGTCAGTGAGTAGGACTTCCATGGTAGTGGCTGTATACGCATTACCGTGTAAGATGATTTCGTGAGGGAGAACGAACTCTCTCCACCCTTATTTGTATGTGGGCATTCGGGGGCACCCAATATAAACAATAATAATGATTCTATACAAACTTTTTGTCATCTAGTTCTTGAATCATTTTACCTTGTAATACAAATTAGTTATCTATTAATCGATCAGTATTTTATGATGCACTTATAGAGACACGGGATATGTTTCTTATCATTGAAAGTCATACTTTGTCTCTAAAGTTCTGTAGGAAAATCACGCGGTATAACTTTACGCATAAAGAAATCAAATATCTGTGAAATTAAACATAAAATATACTGTTGTTGAATGTTAGCCAATATATAACTTTTATGTTTTAATACGTTTATTCCAGCTGGTTGTATATTGACTAGAAGCTGTGGTAGTTCATTACGATAAGTTTTAAAAGATATGATCCACAACCTTTTGTAAATACTTATTCAGTTTCAACATAAAATAGTTGACTTTATAGTGAGAAAGTAGATGTACTTACATTCTACAACCAGTGTATTCTAGAAGAAATGTTAATAATCTTATTAACTTATAAGGTTTTCTAGTCAGTGATGCGTAAACATTAGACATTGCTTTTATCGAAGCATTCAATACCATTAGTTCTTATAGTGACATTCCTTCCCCGTTTCTTTGAACACTTCAAAATGCATGTAAAAGGCAGGTATGAATTTGTTCTCAAAATTGGTATAAATGAAGTTCATAGTGTTAGATGTTGCTGCTTCGAAAATAAGTAATCATAGAGAATAAAACCTTCGAAACTGTACAATCGTAAATATATATACTTAATATTTTAGGATGATAATAATTACAATAATAATGATAATAAACTTGCGTTAGACATACTGAAAGTGAGATAGTATAAACAAAGGTATTAAAAAAATTTTAAATAGGAAAACTAGCAGTCTAATAGTTGAATTCATGAGTCAATTGAAGCTAAACCACCATAGAAAACCTGGAAGCACTGGAAGGCCGTTTCGTCCTAGTATGGGACTCCTCAGCAGTGCGCATCTACGATTCGAACCCAGGACATATCGGTTCCACGCGTGAACGCTTAACCTCTAGACCACTGCTTAGGAGTCTCATACTAGGACGGCCGTCCAGGTTTTCCATGGTGGTCTAGTTTCAATTGACTCATGAATGCAACTATTAAATTACTAAAGTCTCCACAAAACCCTCTCTGATAATAAAGTAATAGTCGTTTGATTGTTAATGGCTTAAATATTCAGTCGAAAAGAAAACATTATACATGAATTTCGCTTTTAAGGGTGACATAGCCACATATATAATTTTAAGGATAAATTATCTCATCAACCCAATGTGCATTTACCAATTTACCTGCTCATGTGGAGCGAGGTATATAGGTCGTTCGATGCCTACTTTATCCAAAAGAATTCAAGAACATTACCCGGCGTGGTTAAGAGGAAAATACAGCTCAATAAGAAGTTCAATAAACCAACATATTCATATTCTTCCTTCTTTCGAGCCATTTGCTTCCCCTTCTATCTTCTTTATCCTTCTACCCTCAACTGGCTTACTTCTGCTTCTATGATCCTCCTGACTACATTTAGTCTTTCTCTGTTTTAAATTTTTTTAAATATCCTTGTTTATTCCATTTTACTGTCACCATGTCTAACACAAGTTTATTATCATTATTATTGTAATTACTATCACATGTATACGATTGTACAGCTTTGAAATTGAATTCGCCAAAAAGAGAACTCTTCGCTGAATCAATCTTTTTTAATTAATGTCTTAATGGGTATATTTCGTTTATTCAAAAAAATTTTCGTCTAATGTTTTACACACATTTCATATACAGGATTGCTTACTGAATCAGATCACACATTAATTAATCCCCCTATGATTATATTTGATGACAAATCTATCTGAAACTTTGTTTTCCAATTAAAAAGTCAAAACAAATTCACCTTTTCCCTAAGTTTCATTTAAAGAGCTACTACGAATCTTGGAAATTTCAGTGAAACAACTAACACACTTCGAGATACTTAATTTCGAATAAAAGACAAAATACCATCTATACGAATATATGTATTTATAAATTAACTCATGTCGATTAAGACGTAATATATATTGAAGAATCTAATGTAATGTTAAACTTTACCAAATAACATCTGAGCTTTGCAGAGAGATCTAATAATAATAACAGTATAGACCCAGTCTATAATAGCAGCTGTACGCTGTTTTCAGCAAACATTAGTTCGGTTTCAGAGAATATATAAATAACTTAAACAGATAATTAAAGTAACTCATTTTGTCGTTGAATAAAAACAAAGAGAGGTCCGAGATTTTATTCCCTCTAACCTCTCAATCATTACACAAACGTCTTTCAGTATATGAGACATCGGATCGTTTTTTCATGTAATCTCTTTTCGGCCTTCTATAAAATCATGCATTTACTAAATAACCATGGGTATATTTTCGCCGTTGGATTCCCTTCAACTTAAACGGACTTCGAAGAAAAGTGCCTAAAAAATTTTGTTTTTCACTAAATCCGACTGCGGTCAATATAAGCGATCTTATTACCAAACCAATTCACATTTAGCTCGTTTAAAATCACACTGGGAAAACACGAAATAGTTCACTGAGTCACAGTCTAATAATCATACCTATTCACACACGAGTACATAGTAGGACGTTTAATATAAGGTCACATCCAACCTGAATGACCTAACAGTGATATGACCAGGCTTGTTTGTAAGTAGTAAGTGGTTGATCTCACTTGTTCCTTGTTTTATTGATATTTCGTTAATTTAGGAGAGTTAGTCATCCTTTGAGGAAGCACATCATATTTAGTTATCAAATTCCGAAAACTCATGTTTCTTCTCGTTCGAATATGCCATTTCTATTTTAGATAAACGTTCTAATTAACCACATAGATATTCCCCCTAATTATTAGGTCATGACTTTGAGCTTTTACAGTCGCTTATTTTTTTATTAAAATACATAAAAGTCTATATAAAATTTCGATGATTCCACGTACAAACACTGCCTGTTAACTAGTTCAAATGGATCAATACTATAGTTGTATTGATTTAAGGACTTAATTTTCAAATACTTGAGGTACATATTCCAATATTACCTTTGCCCTCTTCGATTTATGTAATATCTCCGACTATGACACAATAGCTTAGGTTTAGAATATAATGAAACAAAACAGTACAATCATAAATCTTATTTGTGATAAGTATATTATTCATTTGTAAAAGACTTACGCTTCAATATGAATTAGGCTACAGTATTTGCCTAAATAATTTCTCATAAAGTATAATGATGTACATGAACACTACTAGAATGACTTAGATACTTTCGGTTCTACCATACTAAATACAAGATCGCGAATGAAACAGTAATTATATCGACGGTTGGGAAATGCAATATTCAATTAGGATAAATGAAAACTGGACTTTTAAGAATAATTTTAAATTCTTCAAATTTCACACGTACATTTGAATTCTATAGGGTGCCTTTAGAAATTCTATTCTTAGTGATTGATTTTCAAGTACACCTATAGTGTCCTTATGAAAACCTCATGGATTTAACATTGTATCACCGCCGGATAGAGCTGTATCGGAATTTTTCATTTCTGGTTACCTCGCTTCGACTTATTGTGTAAATATAAAGTACACCTATTGTATTCACTTCACTAAATACTGTAGATGAATTAATATGTAGCATGATTTGAGCGGAAATTTGTTTTCAAACAGTTGTAGAGAAAATAAATCATATAATTCTGTTTCATATACATATATTCTGATATATTTACATTATGTAAAGTTTCAATATAAGCTTAATCATTAGCGTATAAATGAATAAAAATATGAAAACAGCCGAAAAATCTCATGAAAAAGAAATAATACGAAAAGTTAAAACAATCATTCATTATCACAAGTATAACAGTAAGCGTCGGGAAACAAACAACATGAGAAACAATGATGAAGGAATGTATTTTAATGCTTTACTCAAAGTGGTAAGATACAAGAAAAGGATTATGTAAAATTGATAGAAAGGGTTCAAGTCAGTTTCATAATTAAATAACACAAGAGTATTACATATTTACAAAAACAAAAGATATTGAAACAACACAAACATTTCCAAAGACATAAAGTTATGAATGAAGAACTATTAACAACACCTTAATTCAAGTTATTCTAAATTGATGCTATTAATACCAAGTTGGTTTAGTAGTAGTATATGAACACATTTGAAAAATTTGTTCAGAACCAAGTATGAAAGACGAATGACTTAACAAGCCAACTTTTTATCACATATTTATTCATGTTAAATAATAATTTAGAATAATGCAGTAAAGATGGCGGTCATTTCAAAAGTGGTCAGAACAATCTCTGTGGTGAATTATCGAAATTTGGTAACAATCAGTAGAACACCGAATATAATTACCAATCCAGCCAATACAAGGATAACAATCATTTTACGATCCTTCGATTGGTGACTTTGAGCTTTTGTCAAGTGCTTCAAACCCTCTTCAACTCGAATTTGAGTATGTTCCACATTATAATCGATACGATCCACTAATGTCCCCTAGAAAAATGTATCATATCATCCAAATACATTAAGTGTAACATGTTATGACGCAGCTTACACATAATTTAATATAAACTTAAGGATTGTTTTCAAAATATTTAATTTATAGATCGTATACTTTAATTAACTGCAAACAGTTCACGCAGTTCTCGTCATACTTGAGACACGTCAGCTGGATGTACTTGGAACCTAGTTTTTGTCTTTTTCTGCTCATTTGATCAAAGTGGCAAACGTCGTTGCATTTAATGAACGCTCATTTTTATACGAGATCTATAAAAAGCATGAGAACTTACTACTCTAGTCTTGCCATGTTTAGTAATATGAAGTGATAAGTTGTAAGGTTCATACAATAATATCGTTTTACGGTACTTAGGATTAGTAACTATTTTATGACAAACTTTGGTTCGTCCGGAACTTCCTTTCTGTAGAACTACAATTTACGGACGGACCAATCATATTGAAGATGGTCGATCTTGAGATTTTTAATAAAATTTGAGACCCGATTACGAATAACTATTACCTTGTTGAAAGCTAAGTAAAGTTGTTTTAATATTTCTTAAGGTGCTAGAAATTAATAAATAAATCTATATCATTGGCAGGAAGGATTTGGAATTATCCCTCTGTTGATAAGTTTGTTCGGATTTCAACCAGTCTTGGATTCTTCTATTAGTCACGAACCAAACTACGTAATAAACATATTTGCTGTGCAACAACATGGTGGGCATGACATGATATGGAAATCAAATTACACGAGGCTCTTGTCATGATGCAGATTGTATAGGTAATGTCAATCGCTAGTTAAAGGTACTTGATGTGACTTAAGGGATAACTAAGAATATTTATGAGGTCTCTCATGAAGTACGACTTAACCACTGGGGGAGATTTTTTCAAAGGATACCATCTATACGGATGGTTAAAAAGCGTAAATGTTATTATTATTGGGTCACCATTGGGATTGAAACCCTTCTATTACATTTTGTGAGAAATACGAATACTCTTGAAAGGTTTTCCTAACCCGAGTCGGATCATTCACCAGTGCAATAACCTTGGATTATTAATTTTCAAACTTGGAATTTCTGAAACCGAGAAACATTTTAAGCACATTAGATTGTTTAATTTACGAGAGACAATTATGATGTGTCATATGTACAATTGATTTGATTATTATATATTTTTAGGAGGCTTTGTATAGTTTAAATTGGTTCTTAATCTTTTTAGTAAGCAGTTTAGAAGGAAATTCCAACATCAAACAGGAAATTAACTGTCAATGAACAAGCATAACACAATATAATTTCGAGAGGAAAAGTTCATACTTCTGATATAATACCATCATATTTGTAAGAATTTTTTTGTTTTACCAATTCTACAATACCTAACAAGATCTTATTTTATTTATGATGCTTTCAAATACATAGAAGAGCAAGTTAGAAAATTTCATCGCAAGTGAATTTCATTTCATCTAACCATATTACTTACAAGTAGTCCTTTTTTAATACCAAATTTTCTTGTTTGGATCTTATTGGTTGGCACAATTGCTAATCGTTTGATCACATTGAACCGATTTGTTTCTTCGCTAGCCGTACTTAACGATCTTCGTATTTATCATACCGAATATAACCTGAAAATATTTTTACTGAATACATTTATATATTCTTCAAAAACAAGACAGATATCATTCAACCTTTAATAGGTTTATTCTGATTAAAACAATACCATGATCATGTGGAAGATTGGAAGACGCTAATCATTAATCTCCTTTAGAAGTTTCTATAAGTAGTGTCACATCTCATGATGTGTTTTGCTATAAAACATCATCTAAGACTTTTGTTTGGTTGCTTTTAAACATTTTAATCCCATTTTTTAAAACAAAAATCATAAAAACTTAACTAATGTAAATTTAGTCTACGTGTTTTGAGCTAGATAGTAAGTTGATCCGAAAATGTTTAAAGTGCTTACTTGATCCACAACCATTTGTGCAACATCGCGAAAAATCTCATTCAATTCATGAATAGACTGAACAATCTGATGAATTTCTTGTTCACGTTGTACAACCATGTTTGTATTTTCTGTAAGTAATAAACTCCGTCTTTGTTTTTGTGATTCCCAAACCTACATTCATATTGTAACAAGTAAAAATTTCGATAAGCGCAAAAGTCACAATGGAATAGATAGAATTACAGCATGTATGATGATCTACAAGTTAGATAACTAATATTCATACTCAAACACAAATAATTGGTTGATATATGATCATTTTTTAGTGATAAAACGAGCTGTAGAGATATCGAGTTCGGTTGGATATCCTGGCCAAGATATTTGCTAAATCTTTCAACTACTGATTCAGAATACCTTATGAACAGTCTAGTCTTACATACGACCGTGCTTTTTTGACTACACAAAAATATTTCACATCGTATGTTTTACCCTAAACAAGTAAATGGCAAGTTGTTATGAGTTAAATATCCTTTCAATATTTCAGTTGATAGTGATCTTCACTTTTTCTAATTAATTTGCATCTTCGCTTTAACTATGTGCATTTCTTGCGAGCAATTTTATGTGTCAATAGAGTTAGAAACGGCGTAAAGTCGACAGATATTAAATACTCCTGTACATTTATCATGTTTTTTGAGGAAAAACACCAATGAGGTAATTCGACCGCTCAATCGAAATCAAGAAATTTAACGAAATCGGGTTTTCAGTAGCAATTAATGTTAAAAATGAATTTTATCAGAAAAAAGGTGTATTGACTTACAGCATAATCACCATCTTCAAACTCATTTACCAGGTTGTTTGATGTTGATGATGTATCTCCTATATTTAAATCTATATTTAAGTAACTACGTATTCGTTCATCTCTGGATCGAAGTTCTGAAAATAAAACAATTACATAGTACCATATATTCGTAATATTGGGCACATAACATATTAGCAACATCTACTCATTGGGATATTACAAATATATTATTTATTTATAACAATCTACCCAATGCTCAACTTATTCGAAAATATCAAATCAAACCTTGGTAATGATACCTATAAATTACATAGTACCATTTTTTAAACTTGACAGAGTTATCAACTTCTAATTGTCTGTAACTCTAATAAACCACTGTATACACTGTATAAACTACAAACTATTTACCAATAAAATGTTGAAAAAGGCTTACTCCATTGTTTAGTGTTGGCTTTTAAACTACTTACTGATGCTTTGGTAACGTTAAAACTAAGAAGCGATAATCTTATGGTCAGGATTTTAACAGTGCATTTAAGCTTTGTACTCAGCTCCACCTACTTCAATTTAAGCTTCCTGGTAGTAGTTTTATTTATTTAGTTCACATAGTTTCATACTACTGGGAGCTAAAAATAGTTTGCACACAAACTATATGGCTCAAAGCCGAGTACATAAGCTTTGATTTGGATAATCACATATTATTAGTAATCACAGTAAAGAATAAATACGTAAACATGAAAGATTCCGTCATTTGAGAGTCATATTAAGTGTGGTGATTTTACACTAGTAGCCTACTAGATTATTACTCACATTAATCAGTCGCAATTTAAAATGAGGGATATAAAAGTTGTCGTGTTCAACTATCATATCCCTTGGTAGCAGTTAGTCTTATCATTATATAACCATATAAGAAAGGTTTTTTGCTATTTGATAGAAGCGTTAACAAATAATCATATTTTATTCATTCACTTACTATATATAATAATCAGTCCAAGCGTTTAGTTTATGGGCATAGATATGTTTAACGCCTACTTGAATGACTCAAACGCGAATGCAAGTTGAAAAAAACTTCATAGTTGTAGCGAATGTGAACGAGCCGAACTTAGTTGTGTGTAGGCAAATGTTCATGTGAAAAGACAGCAATGTATAAATACCATTTTTATGATAGTTCAGGTCGAAATAGATTGTATTATCCTGTTGTTGATATTTCTGAATGGAATTAAATCAGTCTTGGTTGATATATGTGCATCTTAGACGGATTGTTTTGATATAGCAAATGTGATACAAGTTAGTATCCAATTGATGGGATGTGACTAGCAGTAGGATTCAGGGACGCTGGTACATCCATCTGACGAGTCCCAAATAGGACGACACACACATCCTGGATCACATTTCATCTGTTCTATTTATACGATAGCTCAGTTGTCCGATGAATTCTAGTATGGATTTCACAAAGGAAACTAACGTGTAGCAGACATGTGAAAACGAAAATTATTAAACCTAATTTAGTGGCGTAACGTATAATCTATGCATAACAGAAACAGCAAGTAATATGGTAGTAATACTGATAACAGTGTAAAAATTATATGAATTATCTGCTCAGATTCGCCTTACAGGACGGTGCAATCATCTTAGTATGTAATGTTTGTTGCAAGATTTCACTAGTGCTGAAGAAGGAAAAATATTACGTAGTGGTGTTTGAGCATAAACAATAAAGACTAGTAATGGCAAGCACCCATAAAAAATTTAATCTGTTCCTCTTCGGGTAATGGTACACGTTATTACTGAATAGTTAACAGAGTTGAACTATAAGTAGCATTGATATCAATCACACTAAAACATTTGCAAACCGACTTAGAAACGCTTTAATGATAATTATATTATTGCGCTTATATTGGCTACTAGACAGTGACTAATTAGCATATACATCTCAGTTTTACAAGTCAGTTGCTTTTCGAACGGGTAGATGGAAACACCTCTGGTTATGAAAAAATTTTGGACATCAACTCTAACATTTCAGATATCCTGAACTGACGATAACAGATCGGTATGAAACCTATATCTGAAACATTCTGCCAAACGCTAACATTATAATACACTATCTACAAGACAGGAAGGTACACAGCATAGTTACAAGTAATTTTTCTTGGATTTAGGTTAAAATTCTATTCTTCGATAACTAAAAGTATGTTTTCAAACAAATGAAGATGGGAAAAACGCCAATTACTGTTTAGATATTCTGATTGTGCCTTTCGAAATACCACTGAGAGATCTTGAAGAGTTCGCGCCAGATTACAAACGACGTTTTCTGCCAACTTGGCTTCTTGCGATTGTTGCCACATAGCTGAGGAACGTTTCAATTTGGATAACTGGCCAAGTTGGCTATGTGATAGATTAAACAACTGTCAAAATAAAGAATAGAATTCGAAAGTTAAATAAAACAACCAAAGCACCAAACAAATTATATTTCTACCAACAGTATAGCTTTAGAGCCGTATTGGTTGAATAACTTCTTGCGCAGAGTTAGTCAGTCAAAAGCAACGTATAAACTTGGCACATGTATACATCCGTTTAAGATGCTCCATCTCATTAACATAAAGAGTTGATAATGTCAAAGAAAATCGTAGAGTAGTAAAGGTAGTAACATGAACGACTAACCATCGAAGATTTAAAAAGAAAATATGGATCAGCAGCTTCCTTACAACCAACTCTCACGCCAGATATCATCGTCCTTCGAGGTAGTTGGTGAATGGGAATACGTGATATATGTCCTAGCCACCTCATCAATTGATCTACCATCCCTACTATCCTCAGGATATCTAACTCAAGATTTAAAGGGTGGAAAATGAATGGAACTATTCAGCTGCGACCGAAATTATGTCATATAATCAGAAGTCTGCAACCATTGATTAAGAAAACCGAGCGTCCGAACTTAAAGGTTTATTCGTCACCTTTGAAAACTTACAAAATCAGAGTGAAACAACTAAGTTGGTGTGACAACTAAAACCGGTTCATTGAAACAGATAGTCAGTTAACTGTACATACTTTTGTAACAAACTGTGAATCACCTACTCTGCAAACGACCAACAAATTTCGCTATTCCGCTCAAGGAATAAGACAGGACCTTCACGATGAAGATCAACATAAATCGGGGACAAAGCATATGACTGTAATGAAGAAAACGACTATTAAAATGATCTTTTATGAGACCAAGACCCCAACGAAGTAATTGTACTATATGAAGATATATATAAACAAAAACTGATCAGCATGTGAAATAAATTTAGTCGCCAAGTACCTGAGTAAGCTCTTTAGTTTGAAACTCTATTTCCTGATCTTCATCTAAGTTGTCATCCAAATTCGAAGCCATGAGATGTCTATCATGAAGAGCAATAACTTCTTTCACTAAAAAAATTCATAAAACTTGATAAATATACACTTACTTTTTTGTCGTATCATGCTGAACGTATATTGAAGTGAATTGACTGTGGTTTGCCTACAAGTACAATAATCACTGAAAAAAAACTAGACAGACCATTCATTACGTAACTTTTTAGTAGAGTTATTGACAGGAGCTTTATTTTTAGATTTGGATACCAATGATTCTTGATCAGATTTCTAAGGGAAAACGAAAGGTTAAAAATGATGTTGCGGCTTAATGAAAGCCAAAATGATAAAGGAATCAGTGTTGATTGAAGTCAACAAACTTCCAAGCATATTAATGACCCAACAGAGACATCCAGAAAAGCCTATTATAAAGTGAAATGCGGTCACATAATTGCTAGAAATTGTGTAGGTCACTAGTCAAAAAATCACCAGCAATCTCATACAAGCCTCGATGGCTGATACAAGGTACCGAGATAAGATCAGTCAACAAACTGAAACGAAAACCTTGTGAAAAACAACCGTTTTAACCTCCCATATAATTTCTGGCTGCAAAATCTTGTCCAATCATGGAACTTAGAAATTGTACGGTCACGCTCCAGCAAATTAATCAGTAAGCAGTTATAGTTGAGGCCGTAACTTTATTAAATTAGCTTGCAGGTCTTGACACTTAATTTGGTTTAGACAAACGGAGCATAACACTAACTACCCTAGGTGCATGGTTCGAAGATAAGTACATACACTTACTTAGTGGACGTTAATTCTATCAGAGCTAATTCTACACCACCTAATACATAATTCGAAATACTCTATTATCTTATTTGTCGTATGTAAACCAGGAATACTCGGCTAATTTCCAGGACATCCTCTTTTAGTATACAACCGTAAAGTGTTAGCGCGATTTTGTGGCTTTTAAATGTGAATGTAGTAAAAAAACGAATCAAATATATAAATCAGTTACAAACAAGCAGTTCCTATCATATTTTAGTAATCATACATCTGACTCTATTATTTAATATCTTTGTCGCGAGCTTGTATAAACCAATTGACTAATCAAAGTGGAGTAAAATAAATTTGGGATACAGACTTACATCGTCACGATAGAAACTTCTGTTTTGGAATGCATTATTTCTCATAAACGTGAAGCTTTCTGTCAGAGACCTAAACGCCATCACGTATTTATATCAAGCGGGGTTTCTCAAGGCTAGATCTAACGCTGTCATCTTAATGTTAAGGAACTCTAAGAGTAGCTATCCTGTTTACGTTGGACTGTAAATATGTACTTATGTTAAAGCTTCAACATTATTTACATTGAGGCTGGCTTGACTTAAAATGATCACTGCACCAATGATAGACCACTATAAATCATTCTTTTTCTTCACGAAAACATGCCAGTTGAAGCCTTTTTTAGAGTTTATTGTATACGGTTATAGCAAAACCTAGTGAAATTTGCCACAGTGTTGCAGTAAATGATTTACTCAAATAATTCTTCAATGTACATTGCGGGTCATACTGATTATTCTCAAGAAGTTGTGTTAAGTATCCAAGTAAGAATGTGTTTTATCTGAAAAGCAGGACGGTTTGGAAACAGGTTATTTGCGTTTCACGAACTTATTAGCAGCTCGTGGAATTCAGACTACACTTGTATGTCAGGGACTGTTATATGATGTACTCTTCATTGACTTCAGTAAATTCTTCATAAAGTTTCACATAACAGGCTGTCATGTAGAGTAAGTAACATCAGGATCGGCGTTAACCTAACTATATGGATAAGGGGTTCCCTAGTTCGTCTCCCATAAAGTGTAGATTAACTAACAGTTATCTAGCCGAAAAAAACTAGGAATAGTGGAGTGTCCTGTGGCACAGTTTAAGAATCAGTGTTATTCCTGTATGTAAGTTACTTTCATCATCGGTTTTTATATGCCGACAACATGTAGATATGAGGAGGTATAAGAAAACGAAGCAAATAGTTTGAATCTCTAAAACGACCTACAAAAATAACTGAATAACCTGTTATTTGATAGTTCTCCGCAACGCTTCCAGGTGCATTATGATATACTTTGACCACCGATCTAAGGATAGGTACACGGATGGTGCTGTTGGGCCACCTGTTTATAGACACATATTGATCTGGGGGTCAACGTCCCTCAAAACATGGAAACCACTGCGCACTAACGTGCGATAACCGACATACGTTTCATAACCCTCCATTCAATACATATGACCTTTAGCCGCATAAATTTTAAGAGGTGCTCGGGTTTCCATGTAGCATATATTTGTCATACTTTTTGGTGCTGGTGCAGACAACGAATCTTTGCCCAAAAAAGAGAATGAGGAGTTTGAACACGTTCAGAAAACCTCAGATGAGTTGATTTTCAGGACCGCGAAGTCACAGTATAGCTACAGACTAGCTAAAATAAACGTATTTCACCTGTTAAGTAAAAAGAGTAGAGGTTGTCATGATACATTTGCATCAAATATGATCTTACTTTTCTTGCCTCTCACAGAATGAAAGTTACGAGGTTGCTCTAAAAATGTTCACAATTCCAGAGTTAATCACTAACCAGCTGATTACCAACTTTCATGTAAAAGTATCGATGGATGAAGCTGCTTGCGTCACTACACGACTGAAGCTCCACCAGTCGAAATATTGAAAAAGTCTTTCTCGAAATAAGATTGAAATTTAAGTTATGAGATTTATAATTCGTTTCAATTATGTAGACCACGAACGTTTGAGGCAAACCCGTTCGCTTTAGATGCCAGTCAGAGGTAAAATCTGGCATTCGATATGAGTAATTTAGTTTCGTATGACAATGTGTTGCAGAAAGCATACCAGTTTACAGGTAGATTAAAAATCTTGCAAACACTACAGGGTTTACTATTATAAGTCATTCAGTTGGATTTATACGTAAAAGAGGGTTACATTTAAGTACATGAGAATATGAATGGTGTTATGATTAATCATAACAAATAACAGGTACAAGCCGCTCTTTTAAGTATGACCAATAATTTAGAACACGGACTTTAAGATAATAACTAGGTTAGGAAAGTAAGTAGATAGGGAGACTGAAATTTTTTCACAGAATCTTCATGCAGACAAATCAACAAGTTAACAAATACGTTTTTGTGTTAGTATTGTACTATGAATTTACAGTCGTTATAACTCGTTTACCATTGGCACGTCGCGCGTAATCTTGAAGAATGATCATCTCTCCGGAATTTCACTTTTGATTGGTACATTTGTAGCCCTGAAAAGAAGCGAAGAACAACATGCAGGAGAACTAGCAACAAGATAAGTTTGACAAATCAAGTATCTTTCTATTTTTTAATCAAGAGAGGTCAAGACATGTCTTTCATCAGGCAGAACACAAATGGATCAATAAGGAAACTTTAGACGGACCATATGAACTAAACACATTGTGCGAAGAATTGTAACTGGGAAACAGGCGTTAGTTGATAGAAGGTTGAAGAGCGAATTGAGTTAAACGATTGTTGACCCTGAAAAGCCATTAGTAACGTATGGTTTCGTCACAATAACCTCTATTTATTTTTATTGTTGTTACTGAATGCCGGTTTCTGTTCTATGCTTAAGCGTCTCAAATTGCCTGTTATTGGACTTGGAAAAATAGCAAGAAGAGTGTAATATAGAAAACTCGAGTCTAAGGGGCAGCAAACGTCAGCGAACAACCTCAATATAATTTAATGGATGGCCCATATCGATCATTAGGAGCCAAACACAACAAAAATATTCTGCCCCACAAACAAGTGCCGGTTGAATTCATCACCCACACCATCAATCTTTGCTAGTCAGCAAATCCATTATAACGACCGAAATACCAATATTCTGTTTAAATACAGAGCTGGAGAGCCTAAGTTTAAACCGACCAGATCAGACAACGTCCTTCTGTATAGTATTTGAGGTGTTTTCGACGACTCCTATTAAATTAAATCGAAACACAAACTTTTTTTACATTTAAACTTCTCTTAATTAAAACAATAATAGGACGTATCACAAATACAAAGTGCCTCAAACGGTACAGCAAGTGTTATGCAGTCAAGGGTTTTTTAACACTAGATAACATGTTGACAACAAAGGGAATAAGTAATAAACAAAAGTTCGATGCCCGAAAACCAGTAGAAATATTCTCAACAATATGTGATTAGACATCTATTTACAAGGATTCCGGCAACTTTTCCAAACAGACAGTCTGAGGATAATAGTCATACACTGAACCATTCTGTGACCTTAGGTTTGGCCAAACATGACCTTGCTGTCAATAGCCCGGCAACATGCAACAGGAGGACTAGGTAACTAAAGATACGTCTTTAACGAGGGCCACATGATAAAGGCTCAGGCGAAAAAGACAGAGAAACCCAAAATGTGGCTAAAAGAGAGCTGAATGAAAGTGAAAATACACTGCAGGGAGAAGAAGCGAATAAATGACAACACTGTCCAATATAATGCTCAATGGAGAATTTCAGTGTGTTCTTTCCGTTGCAACCACTCTCTCTTGTCCTTTTTGATAATAAGCATTTTAAAGTTGTTTGCTAGATAACGGTTATGTCTTATTTCCACGGTTTATGTTCTACTCATTGTTAGAAAAAAAACATTCCTTAGTTACCTTGAGCAGGCATATCGGACAATCAATGCTGGTAGACAGTTAGTGTAGCATCGAAACAATGTTCCCTAGTAGCACAGGATAGAATGTGGAATTCCGAACATAATAAGGTGGTGTCAACAAACGAGTAGAAGGAAGAGTGATGGAATCCAATAATTTTGAGTCAATGAGTAAGTATCTGTAAGAAAGTAGTTGAACAGTAAGATATATAGTTAAAATCGTAAATATAGTAAACTCTTCAGGGTTCACCAAAAAAGCCACTTGAATAATGTTGTCTAAGGAGATTTAATATTAAAGCTATTTGTTTCGTTTGTTCGTAACGGATGTTTTCTTTCTGGCACTTAATCTTCCATCCTGGTTAAGTCTGGTGGTGTTAAACTCTATAACATGAAATTACCTATTTCATCCTTGTTATGAAGAGGTAGGAAAGAATAGTGAACAGAAGTGGTCATGCTAATTAGCATTATTATTGCCGAGGTTTTTACCATTAAATGCATTTATTGTCGTGCTTATGTTATTGGCGTTTGCAATTGTTGTGAAAGAGTTTCTTTCCTGGGCAGCTTCTCAATCGCTTTTAGTTCATGGGGACGGTAAACAGGTTCGTTAAAATGCAACAGCTAGTTTTCCTAGATTATGTATTACGCTAGTGATGTAGAAACTTCCTCCGACAAATCTTGAGTATTCTTCGCATTATGATCATAATAATTTATAGACATCCTACTCTGCTTCATAAGTAATTGCCAATGTGTTTTTCGAAAACATCCTGAAATTTTTATCTTACGGCTCTTTTAATACAAAAGGCAGTTTAATCCAGAATCTTGAAGTCCGTTAAGTGTTCGTTGAAAGTCGTTTCAATTACTGGGGCAAACTAGAAGCCTACGAAAACTTTTGTACCAACCTGAAACAAAGTTATAAACTAGTTGCCAAGATGCGTGATTCTTCCTACTGAGTAGGTTTTCTCATTATATGGGCATCTGGAGAGAACGCAGCTCACTCCTCTGGAAAACGGTAACTGAAAACCTTGAGAAAGAAAAAACTTGCTTAGGCTAGTTTGTTAAAACCATGGAAAATAAGATATCACAGTGCAATTTTAAATAAACACCATGAACTGTAATCTTAGATATCAACTAAAAATTTGACTAGATACACCTGCAAAGTATGTGTTTATGGTTTGTTTGTAAAATCTACAGTACCAAATCTATTGGTTTTAAGTATGAGAAAAATGGGATTTCCTGGCCTATAAAACCGTTAAGAATCTTACCAAATCCGAAGAATTGAAAGTTTCTTTCATTAGATTAGAAGCATGATGGAAGTTCCATTCGTGCACAATCTAGTGCATTGTCATTAGGTTTATGGAATTCCGCGATCGGTTATGACTTTGGACATACAGTTTACAAAGTGCCCGTGAAATTAAGAAATGATTGTGACAACGCTTCATTCTACTCTGAATATATTGTATCTTACACACGTAAAACCAGACGGTTCAAATGTGTTGTTCGTATTTTTTTTGAAAGAACGCGGGTGAATGAACGCCTTGCTAATTAAAACACCTTGTTCCAAATATCGATCAGCCGTTTACACTTTTTAAAAATAACACTACTGTATTTTTCCATATGTTTACGATATCTTTTGTCCGACCATTACTACTCTCTATTAGCTTATAAAAGGTGGATATTCTTGTTCCGACTATCATCACAGGTGTCAAAATTTACAAAAAGATGTGATCGGATTTTTTTATAAATAGCGTCAATCAACACAAAGTCACTTATTTGTGCATATTTCATAATTCATAATTTCAGCGAGTGTGAGTCTGGATCAACACCAAAATGTATTTAATTTATAAAGCTGTGAGTAGCTCAGACAATAAGATTTTTGATTAGCCATTTGCCATAAAATTCTTGAATTAGTCCCAATAGATCTTCAGGGGATTTCAAATTTTTCAAATTGGAGAAAATTGGGGCACTCAACTTCGGCACGAATACATATGTATGTTCTACACTTTTCACTAGAGATGAGTAGTAAGTCATAATTTCATGTCGAGGCAACGCAGAAAAATCAGTAGTGTCAATATTCCACAAATTTTGCAGGTCCGAGAGAACCATTTTTCAGGTGGCTAAAGTGTCCATCGGACCTAGATATTCTATCATTGTTGAGCACTCATCTCAGGAATCTGAGATTGTAAATGAGATCTTATCGGATCAAAAGGAAATCAGCAGATGTCACGTTAACCGGCCTTCGCGATCGCGTTATTCAATCCAGTTGAATGGAATTCTCGATTTATTTGTAGATGCGATACTTCGGCTAACTTTTGAGGTATGAATAGCCAAACATGAGATTTATGAATAGAATATCAAACAACCTATCAATATCCATAAGTGTCTGAATTCCAGTTTCCGTTGTTAATTTTAATAGCAACAAATGCATTCAGTACACAGTTGGGGAGACACATGGTGAGACTAAGGAAAATAAGTACAATCGATTTGAAAAATTTAAATTCTAATTTTGGCTGTGACGGATGTGGTATTTGTATGAACTAGTGATTCATAAGCACTTGATGACCTGCTAATTACGAACTGTTAATATAATAGGTTCATTAGTGCTCTCTTAGTTTTACTCACTGTTAACTGTACTATTTCAGGAAATCCTAGTTACTGTATCACTTAGTATGCTTTTAATTATCATGGCTGTATATGAAATTAGATGATGCATAACATTGAGGTGAGTAGACAGATGGATAAACCAGCTAAGCGTCCAAGCATATACACTCAAAAAGAGTACATAGGTATGTGGATAAGACATAAATTAGGATCAACACAAGGAAATAGTAATAATACAAGGTGAAAAGGTGCTCATCCGGATTGTGATGATTTCAACAACAGAAAAAGGTTGCACGATGTTATGATAATAACTGATACAAAGTTTTGTAAACGATGAGCATTAAAATTTTTTAAAAAGCATTTTGTACTATGTGGCTAACCTCTTAGAATGTTAAACAATCGGCGAAGCACTCGAATAATTAAAAGGCTCTGGTCTTCACCACCTCTTATTGGGACAGAGATAACCATAATATGGTATATTGCTTGATGCAGCTGAAGCATTAAAAATTGTCCTTTCTTCGTCAGAAATCAAACCAGTGCAGTAACAGCTTGTCAAACTGACAAACTGAACATGTGTCTCAAAAGAAGTTTCGGACGTTTTTGACCGTCGTCTGGATTTCATACTGGCGTAAAATGACCGGTGATCACCTTCGAAGCCCAATTACAAACGACATCACCATACTTCAGCTCCGTGTGTTTACTTTAGGTCAATTTAATACACACCATCAAAAGCGCTTGAGACTTCGTTTGGAAATCACCATTATTACTGCTTCTCGTCTGTGATATCATGATTTCTATATTTTAATAGTAATGGTATGCTATAGAATGGGACATAGAGTGTACGCGAATTTTAAGTCGCTTTCTGGTTGATACAGACTAATATGTAAAATAGGAGCACTCCGTCAAATCGCCCATAAGTTCTGGGTAATTTAAATAAATTGTTTGAGAAAATTCTGTTGATGATATGCAACATCCGATGTACACAGCACCATTCGTCATCTCTTGGGTCTGTGGAAGATAATCGAATATAATGATGCAGTGAAGTGATCGGTCGTAAAACTCTTTAACCATCTTACCATCCATCCAGAAGTTTAATAGGACTTCGGCTTCAGCTGATCACGTGATACTATCTTACTCCCCACTCGAAGGCATCATATGGGCCAGGCTCCACGAAAGTATCTCAGTTTCAGTTTGGGAAGGACAGGAGGCTTGATGGCCTATGTTAGTCCTGGCAATGCTGGTCTATCAGTTGATCCAACTTTCTTTTGAAAGAGTAGACGGATGGAGCCTCAACCACGTGCTGAGGTAGTGAATTCCACTCGTTGATGATTCGATGGGAAAGTTGATAGTCAACTGACAAGAAATTTGTTCTCGGCTTATGAACTTTTTTGGAGTGTCCTCGTAAATTCTCTGTTTTGGAAGACAAGAAAAATGAGGGCATATTAGGTGCAAATTTATCACTAAGCAATTTGTAGACTGTAATCTAGTCCCCTCTAGTTCTGCGATATGACAACGGGAAAAGGTTCAGCTTAGCCAGTCGAACTTCATACAGAAGCTTCGCTATTCCGGGAATCAGCTTAGTCGCCGTTCTCTGAACCTTTTCCGGAAACTCACTGTCTTTTATAAGCAAGGGCTAGTCGCTTGTATGCAGTACTCAAGTTTAGGACGAACGAACACTGTATACAAAGTCAAAAACGTTTTAGCGTCGACATGACTAAAAGCTCTACGTATTGACCATTAGGTTCTAAAACCTTTGGCGGCTATTGCACGGCAGTGTGCAGTAGTCTTTAAGTCTTGACTAACGATAACTCCTAAGTCATTATATGTCTGGACGACAGGTAGCTCAGTGTTATTCATCGTGTATGTATCTGTGCCTTGATGACCGATATGCATCACAACACACTTGGAAGTATTTATCGGCAACTGCCATGTTTGAGACCATTCAGATAACTTCTTCAGGTCATTTTGAAGTTCTAAGCTATCACTCTTACATCGTATCGTTCTCCATATCTTGACATCGTCAGCATATAGCAAGACCGAAGATGATAGGAGACAAGGAAGGTCATTTACATACAAGAGGAATAGCACTGGCCCCAAAACTGTACCTTGGGGCACTCCACTAAGCACAGTTTCCCGGCTAGATAACTTTGAGTTCACACGAACTCTTTGTTGACGCCCAACTAAGAAGTCTTTAATCCACATCAATAAATTGCCCCAAATCCCGACTTTTCTTAACTTATATAACAGCTAGTTGTGCGGAACTTTGTCAAAAGCTTTACTGAAATCAATGAAGGCGACGTCTACAGGTAGCTTTTGGTCCTTAAGAGCGCACCAGCTTTCACGAGCCACTAATAAGTTAGTGAGACAAGAATAACCTATCCTGAAGCCGTGCTGCTTCTCCGAAAGGATCCGGTTTTTATCGAGATACTTAAACAGCTCCTTCCGAATAATCTTTTCTAAGATTTTAACAACCACACTAGTTAGGCTAACGGGGCGGTAGTTCTCAGGTTTGTGTTTCTTACCTGTTTTGAAGACAGGACTTACTATGGCGTTTTTCCAGTCTTTTGATAAACGACCCTGCGTAACGGATAAGTTAAGGCATGTACTGAAAGGGCTTGCAACGAAGTTAGATAATTCCTTCAGTAGCCTAGGATGTAATTCATCGGGCCCCGTGGATTTACCTATGTCAAGCTTATTTAGCAGACCAAAGACATCGAGTTCTTTAATGGTCACGCTATCCAGTGTATGTATGAGTGGATCTGTATACACTGACGGGAAGGGCTCTTCTACGGTGTATACGTTGCTAAAGTAGTTCGAGAACACTTGAGCCTTACCAAAGTCGTCCTCCACTAATGATGAAGCAGTACTGTCTCCTAATAGAGCAGGAATATTTCCTTTTCCCCTTGTCCTTTGGTTTATATAGAAATACAAGCGTTTAAGACATTCTATGGATTCCTTAACAAGTTTTCCTTCGTACAATTTTCTAGACTTACGGAGGGTCGAGCCACAAGTATTCCGAGCCTTTGGATACTGAGATTTTGACTCAGGGAAACCATTTCAGTCACAACTCATTTCTTCTCAAAACCACTTCATTAAACCTGGAAAACCAGTGATACAGGTAAGCGAGTTACTTTTATAAGTTCGTTCTATTATGTACCACAATCTCATCACATCCTACTCTCAAACTCACGTATTTCACCCAGACCCAGTTAAAGGATACTGAAATGCCTTTATTTATACATAAATTTGTGTGAAAACACAAAACCTACTAAAACAAAAGGGTTTCAATCCAAGATGCAAGCACGTTGCTGCTTTCATAAGTTTACTGTGTTTGAACATACTGTAATACGGTTATACTTTAAGTCAGTGAATTCATATTATTTGTAATAATACCGCTACTTTGGATTATCTATTTTGTTTTCGCTACATTGAGTGTTTATTCAAACAATCCTTTAAGAGTCGCAAATGCAGGAACAGTCAAAACGTCAAAAATTTTTGAGTATGGTGGAGAAAATGCATGCGGAACCTAACGAACTAGAGGAACTTACAGAACATGAGAAGTTTGCTTTATTTTCTGCTATTAAAAACGTATGAAAATTCTTTAGCATAATGCATTTTATCTTTCCAGGAACAAATCAAGAGATATAACAAGTGGGTTGCGGATGAAGAACAGTTTTCGAGTAAGTTATAGTAATACACTATGTCTTCATATTTCTTGATTCAATTAAAGTGAATATCCCTCCTAAAATAGAAGTATTATTAGTTATGTTAAGCTATCAGTGGTTTTATGATACCAATTTTATTCCTCAATTGACTTTTTATGGTCAAACATATTGTAATTCTTGTATATACATTTTGGAATAAGACAATTTTTCACATAACATTAGGTAAATGATTATTTTTCAATTGCTTCCTTCCTTACAGTAATAAAATTTTATTGATTTATCGGCACATCAACAGTATTATTTAAAGCAGTTAGATTTGATTGTAGACTAAATCTTCTCAGAAAAGCCTTACTTAAGGCAGGTACGCCTCATTGAGTATAACTGAACGTATTGTATTCGGAATTCGAAGCAACCGCGGGATCATATTCAGAGGAACCACAAAATTCTACAGGCAAATAAGTAGAACAGTTAATTTTTCTGTGTATACAGAAAAATTTGAGACTATTTCTAAATTTTTACCCGGGTGTTTTTATCCAGATATTTGTATACACTTTTGGTACTAAATACTATTGCAAGTTACAGGGAACAGTCAAAAAGATAATCTATTTCGGTATTATTTTCAAGCTAAATTTCACTCTGGCGTACAGCTGGTTGCATTCTACACGTAAGAAACGGGAATATTAACTGACACTTCCATTTATTTAGTTTTCAGCTTGTAAAGGGCAGAAAACTGGTAGACTGTAATAGTCTTAGCATTCACAAAACTTAGAGGTAATTTTATCAAAAGTGCATCTTCAAAACGAGCTGCACACATACTTTGAGGCGAAGACTTATGCTTGTTGATGATTAGGCGAGATGATTAGTTGGTTCTGGGCTCGTGATTTTGCTGATGTCCATGCACATTGTCTGCTCCGAAAGGCAAGAGAAAAACGCATGTAAGTTGTCAGTGAGTAATATGAAAGCTTAAATTACTTTGTATCTAACAACTCTGCTAAATAAAGAGAATAGTTCAGTTAGCTTTCAAATTCCGGAAACCGATATACCTGCGTCTATTTAAAACCTTAACGACATCCCGCTTCTTCATTCTAGTCAAGATATCGGTGTTTGAGTGCAGTACTCAAGTTCTTCCACTGAATACTACATATAACCAGACATGTCCTAGCAAATAAGTTACGGTATGTCCTATTAAATGAATTAAAGCATCAAAACCTTTAATATGGCTATAAACAGTTGCTTATTGATGTTTATTGATGATAAAAATTTGATTTTTGTGTGTCTAAAAAATGAATAGTTAAATATCATTAACCATGTGTTTGTCTGCTCTTTAATACTGTGAGGTATAGTCATGATAGCAATGAGTTTGTCTAACTTCATATACTAACTGAAACCAAGACATTTTAGTATTTATTGCAACGCCTTTTACTGTTTAGTTTCAAAATTCTTCTAGCCATGGAAGTTCTTTAAACATTAGCAGAGAATGTTCACTTTACTGAGTCTTTTGAGGACATTGTAGTATCATTTCGCCTAGCACTTTTTATCAGTATCTTACCGCCATGTGAAACTGTCGGAAATGTTTGATAGCTTTGGAGACTCAGGAGAAATGACTGCCAGCAAATTTTTGATTCTAGCGCTATTCAAATGTAAAGTTTGTCTTACGACATTTGTCTATCATATGCCATTTAATAAAACGGTTCATTTCCAGTTGGAAGAACATGATGCTGGAATGTTTCGTTCAGGCTACTGATATGAACTTTATTTCAAGTCAAGCTTCTTTTGGTGGTTATTGAGCAGCTAAATACATTTAGATATTTTGAATGTTTCAAAGCATTCTAAAGGTTTTGTCTTATTTTTTAGATCTTCTGTTTTATCTTCAGTCATAGCGTTTTCATCCTAGACTTATTTTACAGTTTTTACAAAACATGCTTTATGTCATTACATAAAAAGCAACCATATTTGGATATACTAAAGACATTTTCGTATAGACCAAACAGTATTTATGAACGTGTTCGTAAACGTATTCTCTCCACAATATTTAATTCTGACCAAAGTAATTGGTAAACCGTTATGAATCAGCATTTGATATGCTAACCACAGCCACTGGAGAAAGGTACTTACCGACGGATTAAATTAAATAGTTATTATGTAGTACAATAAATAAACCAGATTTAAAAAAACATAGATATTTAATTTGATGTCAATGGTCTAATGGTTTTAAATTGATGGACTTACAGTCTCATGTTCATTTCTATTGACTAATTGGGCGTTTGAAGCCCTTACAAATCTACCGACAAACATAAACTGAAATTTATCTTTTTTTATGCAACGTAATTTCATAATCAAAATGTTTTTGAAATTAAATGGATAAGAACATGTATATGAATTTCGTTAAGCAAGCTACAATATTGAAAATCATTTAAATTTGAGTTATAACTACATTAGAAATTTTTTTCACCCCTCAAACGTATTGGTTAAAGAGGGTACGTGTGTTTTTTCTTCACGGTGACTAGATATGATACACGTTTAAAATCAATAGCGTCTTGCAAATAAGTGTTTAAAATGTTAGAATTCATTATTAGTTGGGCAATAAATTTAGATATATGTTTTATTTACCACGTCTTACTTGTTAAAATACGTTCCACACATTTTTAACGACTACCAACACCACAGTGTTATTCAAAATGTAGAGAGTTATATTATAAAACGACTAGGCTTAGATCAAACAAAATGTGACAGCATTCAATGAGTTGTCCGGTCGTTAAAGTTTAATGTTTATGAAACGGTAAATTTCTTAGCGAGAGTCGATAAGATAACTGGAGTTAAAAGTCAATGATTTCAGACGGTATACTTACATCATAATCACATAACATATACCAATTCATTCATCATTCATAATCGGATCCTAGACATCCACTTACCATATTATTTTATTACCTGTTTTCGCTAATTGTTTAGTCTTTCTTTTGGTGTTTTAATGTAATAGTAGTAAAAGTACAAATTATCATAGTTACCGCTAATAGTTTTTTGATATTGCTCTAAAAAATACAGTATAATCGAGATTATTTAAAAACTGATAGGTTATATAAACCTTTTTGTTGTTAGATGTCCTAAAAGTGTGCTAACAAAATAGGCAAGGTAGCAAAAAACGGTGACATATTTAAGTCAATTAGACATGCATAATCATAAACAATCTTGGTAAACACATATGTTTATCGGTTAGGTGTTACTTAGGAAATAGTGTTATTATGTAAAACAAAACTTGGTGCTTCCTTCATAAAAAATATATAATTAACTGTAAAACCATGTTTTTTTCTAAATCTAACGTTGAAGAGCGGGATTATTTATATTGTCTTGCATTTAAGGAGTTCATATCGCGGAACCATAACTGATCAAATAGTATCCTAGACACAAATAAGTAGAAAACACAAACAATTGCATTTGGACAAGTGTTTGCGACTGTAAATTTGTAACTTAGTAGATTTCACTTTGAACAGGGTACTAAAATCACTTGTCATTGTAAGCTTTAATAATAAATTTACTAATTAATTCAACTTATGTAATATAAATTACGAAACATTTCTTAAACATTCCATAGCTAACTGCTCCATAACGTATAAACTGTTTTGAATTACTTGAACATTTACTCTAATATATTTTATTGTTTTTAATAGTTTCAAAAACTCTAAATTAAAGTACAAGTATCAGATGAATTATGAAGCGTATAAGCATCGCTTGAAGTTCAAATGATTTCACCGTTTATTCTTTCATAAAATATGCTGCCTTAACCTGAATGGACTAAGCATTATTTAAATTACTCAGTACTTCTATAAATATATTTTTTCGACTAATAACCTTCCTATTTTGATCAGTGACACATTCATTCACTAAGACATTCTCAATGCTAGACGAACAAAAGTAAAACCCACAACAGAAAACTGCATGTAACTTAACAATTAGTGTCAGAATATAATCTGTACTGTAATAATGCGTAGAAATACTAATAGATTATTTATTCATTGCAAAGTTTTATTTATTGTAAGTTGAAATCAGTGAATGTTTCGAAATGTATCTATCGCTTTAGATAAGCATATGCTCCACCGTTTCTGTATTGACAGAACACCCCCTTAAGTCTGTATTATGTGCTTACTTACGCCTGGTATCCCTCGCGGTGGAGCATAGGCCGCCCGCCAGCCTTCTCCATCAAACCCTGTCCTGGACATTCCTTTTAGTTCTTTTCATTTGTTACTCACTGTTTTCATGTCTGCTTCCGATCTCCTATTATGCTAATTATAAATTTCATTACTTTGGTAAGACTAAAAATGAGGCATTTTGTTCGTTCACTAAAAAGCAGTGCTTCACTTTTTCAGCGGCCAACGGATAAAAAATATTACCCCTAGAATCCCATTTATACTGTAATTAACCGAAGCTATTGAAAGTTATATAAGCATTATCGTTCATAATTAACAAATTTCTCAGGTCAGTCGTATCAGGTGATCATTTTAGCATTCTCATCAATAAGTTTGTGCAAAAACGTATTCTCATATTAGTCATTTTCCATGTTACAATCAAAGACATGGTTAAATTGATTAATATTGTGTGAAGTAAAGCCAACAAGTCCATAATACTAGTGATTTAGTAGCAGTCATATACGAATCGTTATTATTCATTTTAAAAAATTGTTAAACACAGTGCTTTTATCCTGGTCATTGCTGTTAAGACGAGTAGATCCGACAGGAGTGTTTTCACCATCGACTTACATCATCTGTGAAGCTACTGGAAACTAGTAATCTTTGGTGAGCTATTTTGTTTTGGTATGGGACTTCTTTACAACGAGTACAAGTGGTCACTCCAAAGACACAACCTGCTGTCTCCAGTGACCTTATACTCAATGGCTGTCATGCATTCTCACTGATGGCACATGCCACACACCTGTGATGCTTAAAATCCACTGATTATGACTTGACTTTTAAAATAACTGAGGTTATAGTAGTAATCCTTTGGATCCGTAGTCAAACTAC